TGTGTATTCTCTTTATATAATTACTGGTGAAGAAAAGCTAAACTCTATTACTGGACTTTTTTTTATTGTAGTGCTCCTCATTCACTTCTTGTATATGGAAAGGTTGATCCACAACACCCAGATCTATTGGTTGATCCCCTTGGTATATTGCGTCCTTGTACCAAACTGACTCATCAATTACCTCTGGTACCATTTTCTTCTCTCTACTTCTTCGATTTACCTTTGTTTTTTGATGCCTCTATTCTGGATATTTGATAAGAGCATTTTGTTTCAGGTGAGTGCGTACACATCGTTTGTGAGATCAGTAATGGGTCTTGGATTAGAACAACACAGAAGGAAAATGGATCTTAATACAAACGAGCCGTTGTTTACCAATTGTACAAGGGACTTCATTGGCACTCATGACTATATCTTTTATACAGGTTTCACCTTTTTCTAACTCTCCTTGTCATTTAGAGAGTTAACTAAACAGGGAGGTTTGTTTTGTTTTGGTTTGGTTTTCAGCGGATACGTTAATGGTGGAGTCATTATTGGAGTTGCTAGATGAAGATGGATTGAGAAAGGATACAGCTCTTCCTTCCCCTGAATGGTCTTCTAGTCACATTGCGCTCTTAGCTGAGTTTCGTTGCATGCCTAGGACGAGACGCTAACCGTCTCCACCACCTTCCTTTTCACCATGGCAAATCGTCGCTTACAGATAGTTTTTTTTTTGTTTTGTTTGTTTCTTTCCTGTTTTTAAAAATCAGATTATGACAGAGATGACACAAAAGGTCGAAAGTGTTTCTGATCCAAAGTAAAAGCAGATCACTTTCTGAAACTGGTCATTCTTTATAGTGACCCTCTGTGTTTCTTTCTTTGTCTAACCTTTGTCATTTTGATCGTCAATATTAAGAGTTACCCCTTTTCTTTTTAACCTATACTTCCACTTTTAGCAAAAGTATGGCTTTTTTTTTTATCAGCTTATACATGTCTTGCAAGACTAGTGAACTCGTGAAAATAATACTGATCAGCTCGTTTCTACATAGTACTCTCTATTAGTGAAACTATAGAGATAAATAAGAGACAACCTAATCGTCTCTTGAAGAATTGAAGTAGAAAAGCTTAGTTCCAAGCACTAGCCACTCCAGGGCCATACCCTTGGTTAGGAACGTTTCCATATCCTCCACCGTAGTAAGCACCACCTCCTCTACCGTAAGGTACATAACCACCAGGAACCATTCCATATCCACCACCAGGAACCATTCCATACCCACCATGCATTACTCCATATCCACCACCAGGATACCCTCCATAGCCTCCACCATGACCGCCTCCATAGCCACCACCATGACCGCCTCCATAGCCACCACCAGGACCGCCTCGGCCAACAGATTCTCTCCTGAAATCACGGCCTCCAAACCGACCACCAGACCGCTTGTTCTTACCACCTCCAAACGAAGCACGAGATGCGTACCCACTCAGCCAGTCAGGGACCTCCTGGTTTGCTTCTTGCATCAGCTCAGCGAGTGGTTTGGCCATTGATGTGTTGTTGTCGTTGAAGAAAGCAGTTGCTAGTCCTGAGTTGCCTGCACGTCCTGTTCGTCCAATACGGTGGACATAGTCGTCAATGTCGTTTGGTAGATCAAAGTTAACCACATGAGCAACGTGTGGAATGTCAAGCCCACGTGCAGCCACGTCGGTTGCAACCAGAATGGGTGTTCGCCCAGTCTTGAATGATCTCAGCGCCACTTCTCTTTCCTGTATGCATAACACAACAATATGGTTTTAGATCAGGTTGCACTGAACTATACTCTACAATATCGTCTTTCGATATCAATAACTCACTAACCTGTTGTGACCTATCACCGTGGATGGTCGTAGCTGGGAATCCATTAATGCACAACCAATTCTCCAAAGAGTCAGCTCCCTTCTTTGTCTCCACAAATACTAGAGTCAAAGCTTGCTGTAAAATAAAAAAAAATCAGGATCATCGCCAAGGTGCTCTTGAACTGCAACGCATCACAGAGAGCAAAGAGGCGATGAAAAAGAACCATGAGACCGAAAGGGCCACTAACGAAACCAAACAAATAAGCGTGCATTACCTTTCCTTGGTTACCATTCTCCCTCTGAGCATGAAGAAGGTCCATTAGATGGCTTCTTTTGTCAGCATCGTGGACAAACTCTACTCTTTGGACAATCAAATCTGTACTTGAACCCACTCTTCCAACAGCCAGAAATATGTAATTTGAAAGAAAATCAGATGCAAGTCTCTGCACATAAAAAATTAAAATAAATCATTTCCTGCAGATTATGTAAGTTTTAGGTTATTATTGCAGTAGCACTACTGCACTAGTCAGAGAAATACAGCAAGAGAGAATTAGCTGAATCTCTTCTTTGGTAAGTAGAAAATGACATGTGAAAAAAGGGTTCCACACAAACCTGTATCTCCCTAGGAAAAGTAGCACTGAACAACATTGTCTGTCGTACACCCGGAGGAGGCATGTCCATCTGCTGAACAATCTTCCTGATTTGTGGTTCAAAACCCATGTCTAGCATCCTGTCCGCCTCATCAAGTGCCAAGTATTTTACCATTTGTAGTGAAACTCTACCTCTCTCAAGCAAATCATTTAATCTCCCAGGTGTTGCAACAAGAATATCAACTCCCCTTTCAAGCTCCCTTATCTGTTAAACAGTAAAACAAGAGCAGATTAGCAAGAGCACTAGACTAACTATCATGAAATGTAGCAGTAACATAAACCTGTTGGTTGACTGGTGTTCCTCCATAAGCAACCACAACTTTCACACCAGTTTGGTATGAGAACTTTCTCGCTTCATCATGTATCTGCCAAAAAAAAACATTTTTTCCATATAAATTTCCATGTGATCTATGAATACACATAAACTTTGATATTAGACCTGGCAAGCCAATTCCCTTGTTGGTGAGAGGATAACAGCAAGTGGATAGACTCCCCGAACACCACGTGGTCTCTCAACACTCTGCTGCTCCTTCATAATCCCACTAATAACCGGAAAGCAAAACGCAGCTGTCTTCCCAGACCCTGTCTGAGCACAAGCCATCAAATCCCTCCCAGCAACCAATATAGGAATCGCGTTACGCTGCACAGGGGTCGGCTTCACGTACTTGCACCTCTGAATATTAAGATTCAGAGCCTCTCCAAGGTCTATCTCCGCAAACGTATTAACAGGAGGAGGCACATTATCTCCACTTGTCTCAATGGGAATATCTTCATAAGCTTCAAAGTTGATGCCTGTGTTCTCCTGCTCGTTAACAGCCGGCTCTGCATTGTCATTATTACCAAATGGGTTCGTTTCAGTATCCCTACGGTCCCAACCTCCACTTCTGTTATTCCAACCACCACCTCCTCCTCTACCACCATAGCCTCCTCGACCACCATAGCCTTGGCCTCCTCTACCATGTGAAGGAGCAGCAAAGTCTGAAGATGGTGGACGGCTCCTAAGATGAGGAGGAACATAGTTGGTTCTGGACGGGTAACAGTTTCCGTAACCACCTCCACCCCAACCAGATGGTGGTGGTGTCTCCGATTCAGAAACATCAGCCCATGATGAACTCATACTTGCAGATTACAGCCTACAACTAATGTCCTGTTCTTTGATCAATGTCCTGGAGAAGATGGCAACAAACATTCAGTTAGAACATAGTTGAAGCTGTGCATGTAGGAAATAAGAAACATTCGAACGAAACAACAGAACACAATCTAACGAAGAACTAACAAATAGCTGAGAACAATCATGTCTTAAAACCAAAAATCACTAAACCCTAGAGAAGATGGTTATAAATATTCATAAAACTAAAAAGAACCTCCAATGTCTTGCTCTTCGATCAATGTCCTGGAGTAGATGGTAATAAATATTCAGTTAGAACAAAGTTAAAGCTGTGCATGTAAGAAAGGGTTTGTTTCTTATACTTAGAAATAAAACAAAAAAGGATTTGCTTTGAGAGAAAATGTGTATAGAAGAATCGAAAACGCCTCAGTTAAAAATCGAATATAACAAATATTCAAAACAACAGAACACAGTGTCACGAAGAACTAACAAAAATCGGACAACAATCATGTCCTAAAAGCAGAAACCACTTAAACCCTAGAACACACTAGTTAATCGAACAGGAACATCTCTGCATATACGGAAACAACAAAACTATACACATAGAGATAAAGCTTAGACTTTTTTAATAAACTCTACTAGAGAAAGCAAACCTAGATCAATGGTGTACGGATGATATAAACCCTAATTCTTCTCGCGATCGCACACGAAGCAAATGAATGAAACAAGGTATTTGGGGAGTGAGCAAAAAGATGAAGAGATATTTGTATTTCGATGAACCTTTTTTCAAGTAATGAAAAGCGTGCCGGCATAGCTATAACGAAGTAAACTGCGTGTCGGCGGTAATTACTAAATACTAGAAATTTTGTTGACAAAAACAAAACACTAGAAATTTTCGCGCTATTCTTTTATGCACATAAAAGATAATTTTAAATATAATATTTTTAAAAATTTAAAAGAATAATTTATTTATATTTAAATATTATTATTTTATATTGTAGCTTCAGTGTCAATGTTCTATACCCCCTCTTGCAGAGTTGTAAAAACGGACTGTGACAACTTTTATTAACATGTCGTTATTTAAACATTTTAATCATTCTTGCAGAACTAAGACTATAATGATCGAAGTTGACAGGGAAACATATGTGCACAAGAAATGTCTGTAGAAAAGTTTATAAAAAGGCATATAGAGTTCATTGTTGCAATGGTGGTTAGATCACGGAGTACAATCAAAATCAACAAATGCTAGCTCTATGGATAACAGTAGCATATAATGTTTCTTTGTAAGAGATCGGAATATAATCAGGACATAAAGGGACGCCAGGATTACATGTCTGATCTCTACTCTTGTCTTTCTTTCGTTACAAACAAAGCTAAAGCTCCAGACTCAACATGTTACACCACACTCAAGGAAAAAAATAGATAAAGGGCAGACCATGAGATGTCTCTGTACTCTTGTCAAAGACAGAGATGATCCTGGTTTAGGGTTCAAAGTTGATGTCAATCATGCAATGAGCCTCCCTTCCACTTGTCATGTCCCTGCAAACATCTCACAGAGCCCAGGTGAGAAGTTTCATAATATACAGTAGAACCTCTATAAATTAATACTCGATAAATTAATATTCTCTATAAATTAATAAATTTCACCGGTCCCAACTTGGGCCGGTGTAAAATATGACACAAATCGATAAAATAATAAGATAATAATATTTGTAAATCTGCCATGTAAATATATGGTCCCCTAAAATCATAAATTAATAATCTAGCTATATATAATTTTATATAAGTACAATCTAACATTATATTGTTGGTTTTATATTTACTTTAAAAATACTCTTATTTTTTTAAAACATTTCAGTATATTTTGATAATATTTACTCTAAAAAATACTTTTATTTTTTAAACATTTCAATATATTTTGATAATATTTAGTTAAATTACATCGAAAACCATGTAACAATTCTATAAAATATAAAATATACACCAAATAAGATAATAAAACAATAAAAAGTCAAATTTCTAAAATTTAAATAATGTACATATGCTAAAATCAAATATTTTTTATTTTATAAATAAAAATAGAAAAAAAATTTAAATAAAGGAAAATTTCGTAAATTAATATCTCTATAAATTAATAAAATTTCAAAGTCCCAACATTATTAATTTATAGAGGTTTTACTGTATACAATATGATTTAACAGCTTTGCATTGGCACAAAATTATAGCTTTATCATTAGTTTATTTTATTGCAAGAAGAGCTTCTACATTTGCCTCCAGATTCACTAGCCTCTCAGATTCTTAAGCAATTCACTGAATCATCTCAGAATGTTGAACCTAGAGGTACTAATACTACTTTTCACAGTATTAATTCTGCTCGTACAAACATTATTCATCCTGTTCCTTGGAACAAGAAGAAAAAATAACAAGCAAACAAAAGCATTGCAGCAGTGTCCACAAGTTCAAGCATCAAGGAAGATATAAGAACCAATTTGGTCTAGTTATAGCTGGAGCTTAATGTAATCATCCAAGTAATAAATACAACCAAGACCGCTATAAGTCATATCTATAAGTTATGGATGTACCATGGCTAGTTCAATAAAACATATTGCAAAAACACTTAGCATCTGCTGCAAATATTATGTGATTGTATGCTACATAACAGAAGAGAATCCTCATATGGAGCAACTTGCCTTACGCACGGAGCAAGATATTGTTGAGAGTCCTGGAGCTAAAATCCAAAATTAGCTGTGTACTTTGAAGCATGTCAAACGAGGGAACATCTGAAGCAATTCTTCACGGCTTCTTCTCTGCATTATTAATCATCAAGTTAACATTAGGGAAAGACAAAATGTTAGCCTCGAGCAACACCACAAAGTACACACCTTAATGCCGATGCAGCCATTGACATCAAGAGTGGTGAGTGTAGCAGAGCAGGTCTGCGAGAGAGCCTCCAGGCATTTATCAGTCACCCCAACTATTCCAAACAAGCTGCAAATTTTTGTTTTTGTTTTCATTGAACGGTGTCAGCCAAAAAAATAATAATAATCATAACACAAATAGATCTGAAAGTGGATTTAGTACCTGAGAAATTCGAGGGAGGTACAGCTATTAGCAATTGTAATCACACCTGCATCTGTAATACGCACACACCTGCCATGTTTAAGAGGCATTTGCATTATAGCATTTGGAATGAACACGCAGCTTCTAAGTGGAGACTTAGCTTACCATGTCAAGTTGAGAGACTCTATCTTGTTGCACTTAGCTATATCACCAAGCCCTTCATCAGATAAATTCTGATAGCCAAAGTAGTACTCTTAGTTACAAGTTATATTGAAGATAAGAAAATCATTATTAATGTATTCAATGTGCTATTGAATTGGTAGCAATCAAACTCTTAGTTATGTTCTACATACCTGAGCACCACATAGATCTAAGAACCTTAGGTCAGCCAAAAGAGATATCTTCTTGTAAGCTTTGTCTGTGAAGCTGCAAGAATTGCAAATAAGTTCCAGAACTTAGAACAGCTAGAGTTTCAATATAGTTAGAGACAAAATAAAACTATGCTTCTTATTATATACCCAGAAAGAGCGTAGAGGTTTAAGGTCTGTAGAGAGGAACACTTGTGTAGCACATGAAGTAATCCATCATCTGTGACCTTAACACATCTATAGACATTATAAACAATGTAACCTCACAAAATCACACTTCCATCTTTATAAGCAATCGAATAGATAAAAATAAAGTTATCCAATTAAATAACCACAGGGAGGGTTAAGCAACATTTTACTTACCTAGTGATGTTCAGTGACACTAAGTCTTGATAACCTTCAGCTACTAATTGCAAACCTTTGTCGGTTATGCTCTGCAGCAATTAGTACACATAGAATTCAAAACCTTCATCCAATTAGGTACTCATGTGTATAAAACATTGCCATAATCACAGCTACTCATCACAGATAAAATTCCCCAAAATATAGATTAAGATACCTTGCAACCACTTAGGTTCAAATCAATGATGTTTCGGCAATTCTTGACTAGATGTCTAATACAATCATCAGTCACCCTGTGAAATAAAACCTAGAATTAGTCTCGTCTGATGAGAGGTAAAATCAAGAATTTGTGACATAATATTACCTCACATTCCAGTAGATAGAGATAGCTTTTAACTTGGGACATATGCTAGTTATAGCTTCGATTCCACTGTCTGATATCTTTTGGCACCCGTTCAGATTCAAGCATTCTAAGCTTGAAAGCGCATCATGACACTAGAATATTCATACAGCAACATAACAACATTAACAGCTAGAAAATAATATTAAGAAAACATCAAGTCTAATATGTAATAATTACCTGGCTTTTCACAAGTTGAAGATGACTGTCCTCAACACCTTGAGAAAATTCAAGATTGATATGCTTCACTTGACCATATCTTGGCTTCAAAAATTCAAACCACAGTGAACATTATAATCCAATGAAATTCAAGTATAATCATCAAAATTTTAGTATTAACTAACCAAGGACAGAGCAGCTAAAAGCCTATCTCCTGCATTGGTCCTCTCACGCAAATCAATGTTCTGAAAAAGAGAAGCAATCAACACTTGTAAACTTGGAAAGATCTGAAGAAGAGTAAAAACTTTTTGTTTTACCAGCCAGAGGGAAGGGTAAGAGACGAGGGTGCGATAGAGCCAAGGGCTAACGAGAAGGAGAGAAATTAAATCTCTCTGTGGCAATCTCGTGCTCACTATTCTCATCACGCTTGTTACTATCTCTTTCCTCCACATCTCTTCTTCCTCTTCTATCATCACTTTCTTCGATTCCATGATTCTCAATCCAAATTTTCTACTAAACAGGAAACAGCCTCGGGAACTAGAGTCGTGTCTTGTCTAGACGCGTTGGAACTTGTTTGTTTCTGCGAATTTGTTTCACCGCCGACAAAAGTTGGAACTTGTTTAGGTTCTGTCTGTAAAAAACAGAGCCAGTTCAAAAGTCACCGTTATAAACCGAAGTAAACCAGGTTGGTTTATTCAGTTTTCGGGTTTTTGATTTTGAAAAAAGTCGCCGAAGTAAACCAAACTACAAATCAAACACTGAGATAAACCCTAAACCCATTTCCGCATTTGCATCATCTGATACTCGAAACGATCTACAAAAATGTTCCCCAAATCTCAAAGCTTCCTCTTTTCAATGAGCAAGCTTTTCCATCATCAACAATGGCGAGGAATGGGAGCAATGGCGAAGGTGAGATTGAAATGGGTGAAGAACAAGAATCTCGATCACATCATTGATACAGAGACCGATCTCAAAGCAGCTTGCATTCTCAAAGACGCCATTAAACGCTCTCCCACCGGTTTCCTCACCGCGAAATCAGTCGCCGATTGGCAAAAGCTACTCGGCCTCACTGTCCCTGTTCTTCGCTTCTTACGCAGGTATCACTCAATTTCTCCTCCAGTCTCGTCTGATTGATAAAAAGATTAAAGCTTGATGGAATTTATAGTAGCTTTGAAGGTATACTCTGTTTTTTGAAGGCATCCGACTCTGTTTTTGTAGGTAGACTCTATTTTGAAGGTATACTTTTTTTTTTGTAGGTAGAGTCTGTTTTTGTAGGTAGACTCTGTTTTGAAGGTATACTCTTTTTTTTTTGTAGTTAGACTCTGTTTTTGTAGGTAGACTCTGTTTTTGAAGGTATCCGACTCTGTTTTTTGTAGGTATCCGACTCTGTTTCACGAGTTTCCGCACGGTCGTTACGCAAGCTTGCCCTGTTTCAAGCTAACGGAGACAGCACTAATGCTCGACTCACAAGAAGAGATCATTCATCAAAGCCACGAGGCTGACACAGTGGAGAGACTCTGTAGACTTCTGATGATGATGAGGACAAGAACCGTCTCTCTCAGATCACTCCATTCTCTCAAGTTTGATCTCGGGTTACCAGACAACTACGAGAAGACACTAGTCATGAGATACCCTGACCACTTCTGCTTCGTCAAGGCCGCTAATGGAAACCCTTGTCTAAAGCTTGTGACTTGGCGTGACGAGTTCGCCTTCTCAGCTCTGCAGAAGCGAAACGAGAGGGATGCTGGTGTTGCAGGTGAGGATGGTCTTTACCGTGAGTTTAAAAGAGGACAATCTGCATTGACTTTCCCTATGAGTTTTCCTAGAGGGTATGGAGCTCAGAAGAAGGTCAAGGCATGGATGGATGAGTTTCAGAAACTTCCTTACATATCTCCTTACGATGACGCGAGTAACATTGACCCTGAAAGCGATCTCATGGAGAAACGAGCTGTGGGAGTATTACATGAGCTCTTGAGTTTGACTATCCACAAGAAAACCAAGAGGAATTACTTGAGAAGCATGAGAGCTGAGCTGAACATTCCGCATAAGTTCACTCGTCTCTTCACGCGGTACCCTGGGATCTTCTACCTTTCGTTAAAGTGTAAGACAACAACTGTGATTCTTAAAGAAGGGTATCGTCGTGGAAAGCTTGTGGAGCCTCATCCTCTCACTCGTCTTAGAGATAAGTTCTATCATGTGATGAGAACAGGGTTTCTTTACCGGGCTAGAGGGTTAGGCATGGTGTCTAAAGAGGAGCTTTTGCTTGATAAGGTAGATGATGAGGGCCCTGAGGAAGAAGGTTCTGAAGGAGAAGAGATTGTGGAAGGAAGTGAACTTGAAGAAGATTCAGAAGATGATTAGCAGTAGTTGTTCAGTTCATATGTTATAGACTTGTATCCTTATTTGCACACAGAAACCTACATTTTATCTTAAGCAACGGAGTTGAGTTTCCATCTCTGTAACCATAAAGTTCTCAAAGGATATAAAGAGAGATTGTATTTCACCAAGAAAGATTGCCCACAACAAAAGAGAGTAGATGAAATTGGATTTCAAACCAACAAATGAATTTGTTAGAAGAAACCAAGAACAAGATCAAAATCGAAAACACTAGTCTATTTTTAAGGCTGCAAATCCTAAAAAATAGCCTGGGAAAACAAAAACAGAGACTCACCTAAATGAGTAATACATGTGCTCTCTTGGGAATATAGAAGAGAAGAAATAAAGAGTCAAAAGTTAAAAGGCAGAAAATTTGGGAAGCCTTTCTTAATTGGCTTAATCCCAAGCACTGGTAACTTGTCCACCATAGCCACCACTTGGAGCACCACCGTATCCACCGCCACCATAGCCACCTCCTCCTCCTCCTCCTCCTCCTCCTCCATAGTAGTCATTGCCACCGCCTCCTCCTCTACCTCCATAAGAGCCTTCCCGTCTGAAATCACGGCCACCAAACCTACCACCAGACCGTTTCTTACCCCCACCAAACGAAGCACGTGAAGCGTATCGTGTGAGCCACTCAGGCACCTCTTGATTGGCTTCTTGCATCAGCTCAGCAAGCTGCCTAGCCAGTTGAGCATTTTTCTCATTAAAGAAAGCAGTCGCTACACCAGATTTGCCTGCACGTCCTGTTCTTCCAATGCGGTGAACATAGTCGTCAATGTCATTTGGTAGATCAAAGTTCACCACATGAGCCACGTGGGGGATGTCGAGACCACGTGCTGCCACGTCTGTTGCAACCAGAATAGGTGTCCTCCCACTCTTGAATGACTTCAGTGCCACTTCTCTTTCCTTCAATGCATAAAGAAGTCAAGTCAGATTTAGTCAACATATAACAACAAAAGCATTATCATTCAATCAACTCAACGAACCTGTTGTGTTCTGTCACCGTGAATGGTGGTTGCTGGAAACTCATTCATGCACAACCAGTTTTCTAAAGAGTCGGCTCCCCTCTTCGTCTCCACAAAGACCAATGTCAATGATTGCTACCCATGAAAAGAAAAGCAACACCAGTATTAGCCAGTGATAATAAACCTTGTCTAAGTAAACAGATGGTAACTATGGCATTACCTTGTCATGGTTGCCAGAGTCTCTCTGGGCGTGTAGCAGATCCATGAGATGGCTTTTCTTGTCAGACTCGTGTACAAACTCAACCCTCTGAGCAATCAAGTCAGTGCTTGAACCAACTCTTCCCACAGCCAAAAAAATATAGTTTGCCAGAAAATCAGCTGCAAGTCTCTGTACAAAGAAACAAATATGAATGTATTAACATAACCATAAAGAACCAAAGCTATGTGTACTTAATATAACACTCATAAGGCAGACTACCTCTTTGCCAGTCAAAAACTAAACCATCAAAGGAAGAACACTGTTGTCCTCTAAGAGCAAGAAAATTTTTTTTAATGGATTAAGTAAAAGCTAACCTGGATCTCCCTAGGAAACGTAGCACTGAACAGCATTGTCTGTCTCATACCACGTGGAGGCATGTCCATCTCTTCAACAATCTTTCTAATTTGTGGTTCAAACCCCATGTCCAGCATCCTGTCCGCTTCATCAAGAGCTAAAAACTTAATCATCTGCATTGAGACTCTAGCTCTCTCTAGCAAATCATTTAACCGGCCAGGTGTTGCCACAAGGATGTCAACTCCTCTCTCCAGTTCTCTGAGCTGTACAAACAATAAAACATGAGATCAACAAAATCAATTCTTGCAATATTAATTGCCTAACACCTGTAACCAGAATTAACTCCAATACTTTTGCATATTACACAATGATGATCCAAACGAAATCGCAAGGTTAACTAGTATATGATAAGTCTGTAAGATACAACATTTATGATGCATTGCTGCCCTAAAAATCAAAACACATTTTCAACAAATGAGACTTGAATAACGAATGAAAAAGAGTTAGCAGAACTCAGATCAGTAAGTGTGATATAAAACAGACAACAGCGGTATAAGCATGAAGCAATATCCAAAGACAAGCAGAAAACCAAGAAGAAAAGAAACTATCTGGGTAAGATAAATTACCTGCTGGTTAATAGGTGTTCCTCCATAAGCAACAACAACCTTCACACCAGTTTGGTAGGAGAATTTTTTGGCTTCATCATGTATCTGCCAAAAAGAAACAAAGAATGAGAAACAAACATAGATGTTTTTCAAACCGAGAATGAGTAGAATCTCTCAATATTACCTGGCTTGCAAGCTCCCTTGTTGGCGAGAGGATAACAGCAAGAGGGTACACAGTCCTTGAACCACGAGGCCTCTGCGGATTCTGATCTCTCAAAATCCCACTAATAATCGGAAAGCAAAACGCAGCCGTCTTCCCAGACCCTGTCTGAGCACACGCCATCAAATCCCTCTGAGCAAGCAGTATCGGAATAGCGTGCCTCTGCACTGGCGTCGGCCTCACGTACTTACACCTCCTGATGTTGAGATTCAACGCCTCCCCGAGATCAATCTCCGCAAAGGTATTAACAGGAGGAGGCACGTCTCCTCCACTAGTCTCAATGGGAATATCTTCATAGGCGTCAAAGTTAATGCCTGTATTCTCCTGCTCGGTGGGCTCTACTACATCAACATCATCTCCAAAAGGGTTCACTTCACGGTCCCATCCTCCACCTCTGTTGTTCCAACCACCACCACCACCGCCAGTACTTCCTCGTCCTCCACCGTAACCGCTACGGCCTGAATCAGCTCTGTAACCACCGCCACCACCACCAGGAGGAGCCCAGCGAGAAGGTTGACCACCGTATCCACCACGGTCATTTCCTGGGGAAGGAGCAACAGGCTCGGCTTGTCTGTTCCTTAAATGAGGAGGAACATAAGCAGGTTTCGCCCTGGAATTGTCTGAATCAGCCACATCTGCCCATGATGCACTCATATCTGAATGTAGAAAAAGTTTGTAACTTTTCGAGCAGAAACAACAAAAGAGAGTAACTTTCTTATTAACCTGGAAAAAAGTATTAAAAATACATAAGGAATCAGATAGCAGCTTGAGGAAACAGGAAACCTAAATCAAAATCTATGAAACAACTAAAAAGATAGACGAAATTAGAAAGAGAACCAAATCTAGCCATATGATAACACGAGATCGAGAGAGATTGAGAGATAACCTAAAAATCGGGAGAGAGAATCGAATCGAATACGGAGATATCAATTTCAACGGTAGTCGTTAACCCAACGGCGAAGCTCGGGTAGAGAGAGAGAGATAAAAACCCTTGTTTTAGATCGGACACAACACAATGCGATATAATTACATGTTCTACCCCTATTTTTTTAATCTTTTACATTCTGACCCACATATGTTTTAATTAATCAAGAGAGAGCCCACTATAGATATAAGAAAACATCCACTAAAACTTTAAACTTTTATTTAAAAAATAAAAATAAAACCTCAACTCATGTTTGAACCAAAAAATTCTGCAACTTTCAAATATTGGTTGTTTTACTTCGCATATTTTGTTGATTCTACCATTTAATAAACTTAAATAGTAAACTATTAAATTTAATTAAAAATATATGTATCTTAATTTTTTTAAACAAAATTGTTTCAAAAACTGATTAAATAATCTTAATTACTTTTTAAAACATTTAAAACATTTTTTTTCACGAACCAGAATCCTAAATTAACTTTATCTTTTTCATTTTTGAGTGAGGAAAATGAAGTCAATTTGTGATTCTAATCTCGTAGAAAATGTTTTAATTATTTAAATAAGCAAAATTATGGCATTTGACTATTTAAAGAAAAAATATTGTTTAGAAAATTAACAATCATCTGTTTTTATAATCGCATGTAACAGTTGACTGTTTTAGTTTTTAAAAGAGCTTATTCAATAAAATATGAGAGTTAAAATGGTCGATATTTGAAAATTCAAATTTTTGTAGCTCAAACATAAGTTAGAGGTGTATCGGCTTAATTTAAAATTTTGGGAATTGACGACTGGGATCCAAAAGCAACTACAAACACCCCACTCGCCACTCACCCTCACGCGCCCCTCTCATTTTTTTCGATTGTCTCTCACTCTCTGCCAGAGAGAGAGAGCGAAGGAAGACGCAAGAATCCAAAAATCATAGTTTCTGATCTGTTTTATTTTCTTCCTCCGATCTGATTCAGAAGAAGTAATGGGCGCGAATTCGGGTCCGACGGACGCAACCTTGGATCTCGATGAGCAGATCTCTCAGCTCATGCAGTGCAAACCCCTCTCCGAGCAACAGGTTCCTCCTCCTAATTCTGATTCTTCCCCGTTTCCCCTAATTTTCGTTTAATTTGGGATCCCTACACACTAATCGATGATTGGATCTCAGATTATTTTTTTTTAACTGAAAAAAATTGATCCTTTTTTGTGTGATTATTTGATTTGATGTGTGATTCGTATTACCCACATCTAAAAATATCATTTTTAAATAGGCCATTAACGAACATAAATGTCATTCAGTTAGATGCGTTACTTTGATTTAGAATTGGGGAAACACAATGAAATTAGGTTTCTCTTAGTGTAAGAGAGAGGTTGCAATTTGATTAAAAAAAGGATTTTCTTGAGGTGATACGAGGGGGAAACTGATCAATGTTCTGTACTGCTTTGTCTGAAAGTGGTGTCTCCAGTGATTTTGTGATGTTATGTTTTTGATATTACTTTCACACCATGTGTCTTGATGGACTAATCACGTATTGTTTTGTTTTGTTTTTGTTTTGTTTAGGTTAGAGCATTATGTGAGAAAGCTAAGGAGATTTTGATGGATGAAAGCAATGTTCAGGTTTGTTTCTTGCATCTTGCATTCTCTTGGTTTCCTTATGTGGTAGATAAGCATATATTCATTTTGTTTCGTTTACCTTAGAGTTAAATATTATGCATTACCTGGGTGCAGCCTGTCAAAAGCCCGGTGACTATCTGTGGTGATATTCATGGACAGTTCCATGATCTTGCTGAGCTTTTCCGTATTGGAGGAATGGTAAGATCTATAAACACTTACTGAGAATATGCATAATGGCCGTAAAGATTAAAATTTCGTTTTTTTTTTTTTAATTCAGTATCTATCTTTAGTAGAAATGATTAGTTCTGGCTGCGTTTTACAAATTCTGACTGCTTGCTTACTGAACAGTGTGAATAATTATTTTGAGCCTTGACTCAGAGGATGATATGTAGTGCTTAGTTTTTTTTCTTTTCCTGGTTCTAATTTTTGTTGTCTGATGAATGTTCATCTTACGCTCTTTTGCAGTGCCCTGATACCAACTATCTATTTATGGGAGACTATGTCGACCGTGGATATTATTCTGTCGAAACTGTTACGGTACGGAGTTTATACCATCTGCAGATTTCCTTTCGTTTCAATGATAATTATTATCTAACATCTTTGTAAAAACACATCTTGTCTCGTTATATCTAATATTCTGTCTATCTTCCTAACGTTTATGTATGCTTATTAGATTTACGATGCTTATACTCGTCTTTCATTTTAATTCCGTTTCCAGCTGTTAGTTGGCTTGAAAGTACGGTATCCTCAGCGAATCACTATTCTTAGAGGAAACCATGAAAGTCGTCAGGTAAACTAAGTTTTGTCTCTCTACTTGTATGTTCACTCTCTGAAGTATCATGTATTACCATATCCTTTACGGTCTTCCATCATTGAAATCTAAGACGAGAGCCTTTCATGATTAAAATTTATTTATTCTGTGTTGCATACATTTACATGTGTAGTTAAGGTTTTCCTATATTTTGTTTGCTGTACTTAATACTTATCTGTCCTCCAACTTTTTATCTGACTCATGGTTTATCACACTTTTTCGATATGGCAGATTACTCAGGTTTATGGATTTTACGATGAATGCCTGCGAAAGTGAGTCTCCGACATCCTTATTGTTTCTGCTAATTCACTTTGTTCATGAATCATATCATGATACTTCTTTTTCACTAATAGTCTACACGTGTCTTTGCTTTCTGTTGTTACTGCTCATGTCTTGTCATGGAATGATTGTGTTTTGCTCATTTGACTGTTCTCAGTGGTAAATTTCATAGTAGTAGTTTGTTAGTGCTAATCGAAAACATATAATTCTCTTTCTACGTCTGTAGGAAAATCTTTTGGGTTATTTCGTTTGCAATTTGCTTAACACAGACTCGTTGTGCTTTCAGGTATGGCAATGCAAATGTTTGGAAGATATTTACTGACCTCTTCGACTATTTTCCGCTGACAGCCTTGGTTAGTACATCACACTGCACCTTTATATACTCGGATAGTATAGATGTCCCATCATCTGATTTGGCGCTCTCAGTATTTGATACAATGAAAAGATTGGCGTTTAATGCATGTTTCTGTGTGTTAGTGTATTTGGTTGGGAAGTATTACTTTAGTTTAAGATGGTTCTGCAGTGCTGTGAATGTACATTGTATTTGCTACTTGCATTTTCGAGAGTCAAGAGTGAGGAGCTATAACTTGTCTGATTGAGTTGATGGTGTTTTCTAAGAGTTTAAGTTCCAACAAATATCCATCTCATGTCATATGTCTTGTTTGTAGGTGGAGTCAGAAATATTCTGCCTTCACGGTGGATTGTCACCGTCTATCGAAACCCTTGACAACATTAGGAACTTTGACCGAGTTCAAGAAGTTCCACATGAAGGACCGATGTGTGACTTACTATGGTCTGATCCTGATGACAGATGTGGCTGGGGAATCTCTCCTCGTGGTGCTGGATATACATTCGGTCAGGTATTGAATCACATAACCTCAGTTTCAGAAGCGGTCCTGAATCTCATTTTTCTTCGTTTGTTCCAGATAAGTGTGTAAGTGAATTTCTTTCTGTTTCCCATAGGATATCTCCGAACAATTCAACCACAGCAACAGCTTAAAACTTATCGCTAGAGCGCATCAGCTGGTTATGGATGGATTCAACTGGGCACACGTAAACTTTTCTCCCAAGCATAGACTATAGTCAAACCTGAGAATCTCTGCTCACTATGTTAAAAAATGTTGTTTTTTTTTGTATTGACAGGAGCAAAAGGTGGTTACTATCTTCAGTGCACCAAACTATTGCTATCGCTGTGGAAACATGGCATCTATTCTTGAGGTTGATGACTGCAGGAACCACTCCTTCATTCAGGTATATCGCAAGCTATGTTCATTTCCTACCTCTGCAAAAGAAAAGAAAAAGGACTAACAAAGTCTAAATTGTGAAACAGTTTGAACCAGCCCCAAGGAGAGGAGAGCCAGATGTGACCCGAAGGACACCTGACTACTTCCTATAAACAAAAAGTCACCTCCTCTCTCAGCTGCAAGGTTTTTGAAGATCTCTGCTTATTCCATTTGACAATGCTGTTCTCTTTAAAATCGCTTTAGCCTTTCTCCCTTGGAATAGTGTAATATAGGCAGTGAGGTCAATGAACTATAAAACCCCTTTATGAATATTATGTGTTTTGGCTGAAATTATTCAGCTACCTTCTGCATCAGAATCTATTTCTTGTGAGATAATATTTTGATTTAATTTCATGTTATTCTCTTCCCTTTAATTTTTTCTTTTTAACACCCTTTTGATATAAACATGGCGAATATATGTTCTTCAAGGCCACAGCAATGGAGACTGGTCAGTGATAAACAGTCTCCTGTGCCTATATGAAATTTATTATATCCATGATTAATCACACTTGTAAATTAAAACTATAAATATGAGATGAGGTGAAGCAGCAGGGACACTTGACAAGTCGTGGTGTATCTTAACCATGCTAAACTTTTCTGTAACTGAGGACTATACCCAAAAGATATTCTTGCTTAAACTTAACTACATACATCTACATACATCTATATTAGGGGTGGGCACGTATTTGTGATTTGCTTCGAATATTATGGATATCTAATTTTGGTATTTGTTTTGCTTCGAAAAAATACGGATATCCGGAAAATAAATAGATATTTACGAATATTTACAGAAATCTCATCCATTTTGATTAATACAAATAATCTTAAGATTTTGATACAAATTTGCTTTGCAAAAATATTTTTTTGCATGATATATAAAATAAAACTTAAAAGAACTAGTGAATTTATATATTTTGTAACTTTTTTAAGCTTAAGTTACAATTATAATAACACAAAATTTAAGAAAAAAATATAATTGTCATAATTTTCTTTATTTCTTTTTATGTAATACTTTTATATAAGTAATAATTTGAATAGAATTGTTCAAAATCATATGCTAGAGTAATAATTATATAATTTTATACATTTAAAATATTAAATATAATCAAGATATACATATATTTATATATTTACGGATCGGATCGGATATCCGCTTCCCAAAATTTTACTATTTGTGATTTGCTTCGATTTTAACGGATATTGAATTTTAGTATTTGCTTTGATTCGAAAGTTTACGGATATCCGAAATTTTCGGATTGAATCGAAACAAATAACGAAGCGAATCAAATATAACGGATAAAATGCCCAGCCCTAATCTATATCACAATAGAAAGGCCAAGTCAGCTCTTGGATTTAGAAATCTTCACATCCACCATCGGTCCCACTCCCTCTTTGCCCCATCCAGTTTTCCAATGTTTTGGCCCAATGCTGCCATTCTTCAGTGGCACATTGACCCTTCTCCTTCAAAGCATTGAACAAAACTGAAAAAACTAAAATTATCATTAACCATAAAAAAGTCGTACTAATTCAACAAAACTTAAACAAGTTTTTATAAGCAAATTCAAAAAGATAGAGAGAACTCTTAGCAGTAAATAAGCAAATTCAAGAAGGTAGAGATACCTCTCCATTATCCAGTGCTCACGGCAAGAACATGAGGCGTGAATCAGGCTCATGTCGACCCTGTAACAACAAACACATACACACACATAAAAAGGGAAAATATTAGTTCAGAGATCAAATTAGGCCATTGAAATGAGCAAAGATGGTTGAACAAGATACATGTTGAGGAGCATTTAAGTAATTGGAGAAGGATTATTGTTTACCGTATTATTAATACTATAATCTAATAGATACCAGTTGACATAGATTATCCAACCCACCGTAACTTTCCAATTCCATCACGTGAGGAAGAACGACTAATGAGGAATTTTCCATAGATTTGCTGGTACATTTAGAAAACGAGGAACGACGAACTATTTAATGAGAGAGATTTCTGCAATAGACACTCTCCAACATGGGTCACTTAAGACGGAATGTTGGAAAAAAACTAACGAAAAAGAGGATGAAGACGAAGGAGACCCTTCCCCTGCAGAGATTGAACCAGTGCCTCTTTAGACTTCCCGAATTTCTATTAGCCAAATTGATGCTTCATGGATTGATAATAGCAAAATAAATGATCTAAGGTGGAATCTCAAAAATCAGATGGGTTCTGAATTTTTCAGACTTGGGGTTTTCATTTTACTTGAGGTTTTCATTCAAGATTGCAAAGGAATGATTTTTTTTTTTGTTGGTGGCAGCTTTTTTTTTCATAAAAAAATTAGCTAGCAAGTTCACTACACGATTAACTAATACTATTCCTTAATGATATGAGCAGGAACAACATCTAACATCTTGAAGAAGGCCATGGTCTTTGACTAAACCAGCTCCATCAAGCAGATCCTGAGTTCCACTCGTCTTAATCACATGATCATCAAGATTAAATTCTTTGTCTTGCCTCCTAAGGTGCTCGGTTCCAAAACGAGACAACTCTTTATCTTGTTGTTGATGATGATTGTTGTAATTGAAAAGGTGATGAATCTGAGGAGGGAGTACTGTAGGGGTCAGGTCAAAGCAGGCCTCAGAAGCTGAGTCATGACAGCAAAATTATCTGACTTAAGTTTGTACATGGAGTGCAATTTCTCAACTTTTTAAATGTGTATTTAAACACAAGAGAAAGTTCATGGATTTCTTAAGAAATATTTAAAACATTAGGGACTTATTTGAAATTAATGTATAAACGGAAGCAGAACAGAACAAGAACCCTAGTCTCACTAAACAACAATCACTTAAGCCGTGTCCTGTAAAGTCCTCTCCTTTCCAAAGTATCCGACCCTGAAACCCAAATGGAAGGAGTAGATGAGCTCAAGAAACAAAACGACGATGTTTTGCCCCAACAAAACAGAGATGTAGAAGACGACGATCCGTTGGTGTTGAGCTCTCAAGCATTGGCGGCGCTCCAGGAGTTTATAGCCGACCAGAACAAGACCGTCACAACAACCACGCCGCCACCTTCCACCCTCGCCGGAGAAGACAAAGTGGAGCTAGTCACGGAGGATTGGAGACTCAGTCAGTTCTGGTACGAACCTGAAACCGCAGAGACTGTAGCTGAGGAAGTGTTCACTCTCTCGAGTAGATTCTCAGGTTGCAGAGTCGCTTGCATCGCTTGCCCTACTCTTTACGTGTACCTCAAGGTAATACAGTTACATCAGGTTTTGATAAAGAAAGACTTTTAATTTGTATTGAAAACCGATTCTTTTTTTTGTTTTGTGATGAGTCAGAAGAAGGATCCGAGTCTAAATGTGCAACTTTTGGAGTACGATATGAGATTTGAGAGATATGGAAGTGAGTTCACGTTTTATGATTACAACGAACCTGAAGATTTGCCACCTCATCTTAAACATTGCTTCCATATAATCGTTGCAGATCCTCCTTACTTGGTAAAAAAGTCTCTTCAAGTTCTTAAAACTTTTGTAATAAGCAGATTAGTGATCTTGGTTTTGCTTTATGCTTGGCAGAGTAAGGAGTGTCTTGAGAGAGTTACTCAAACGGTTTCTTTTCTCGCAACTCCTGTAGATTCTTTGTTACTTCTTCTCACAGGTAACATAGACTTTGTGTGTTTCTCTAGTCCATTTATGTCTCTTATGTTTTGTTAACATTATTATTATCTCTTTGGCAGGAGATGTGCAGAGAGGTAGGGCGGGTGAGATGTTGGGTGTTCGTCCTTGTGTGTTTAAGCCTCATCACTCTAGTAAACTAGGAAACGAGTTTAGACTGTTTTTAAGTTATGATCCAGGTACCAGACTAGGGGGCTTGGAAGAAGAAGAAGACAGCTAGTAGTTTGTCAATTGTCCATTTACTTGCTTGTAAGTTTTGCTTCTCTAAAGTTTTAAGACTGTTACTGACGGGATTCCTTGTTTGTAAGAGAGACTTTATCTTCCTTTCCTGTCTTGTTTCTTGGTATGTTAGTTTCTGCTGATGATAAGCGGCTTTGACCGATCTCTCAGGTTTCCCGGTGTCTTGGACGTTCATGTCTTCCATCAATGGTCATCTCATTTCTTCTCAACTGGTTTTGGAGTATTCACTGTTTCTTGATCTTGTTGCAAACGCTGGTTTTCATGTATGATTGGTCTTAACTTATCCAACAGTTTTGTTGTTTTGGTGAAAGCTGTGTTGTTGAGATATGAAAGTTTTTTTCATTGGTTATTGATATTTTATTGCATTACCAAAAAAAGAAAGTTATAATAGCGAAGTGGATTCACAAAGAGATTGATCCAGTCAATAGTATACAAAAAAACAGAACCGGTCGATTGTATTTAGATTTTGAATAATTGTAGAGTTTTCATGTTACCACTCAACCCAATTAGTCCTGAGCATTCGGGTTTTCGGTTTGGTTTATTCGAGTTGGGATGCTTAGGAAACTGAGCATTTTCCGGATTGGTTCGGTTCGAATAATGCTGGGTTCGGATCAGGTTTCTATTTTTTGGGTAAAACCCGAAATGAAACTGTATTACAAATAATTCGGGTTTAGTTCAGACTTGAAGCCTAATAAACCGAAAAGAATCCCGAAAACCCGAGTTAAACCCGGAAAACCCCAAAAACTATTCGGGTTCTTCAGGTAGTTCGGATTTTTTTAGATATTTTTATTTATAAATTATATTTTATCTATATATTAAAATTAAAAATAATTAATATTTTTAATATATGCAAACTATTCGGATACCCGTTCGGTTTCGGTTTTTCAGATTTAGAAATATAGAAACCGTTCGGGTTTCTATAATTTTCAGACCGGTTTTTATCTCGGTTTTTTCGGTTCGGTTCCAGTTTAATTTTCGGATTTCAGATAATATGCCCATGACTAAACGCAATGTCTCCAACTCTATCATTTCAAATTATGAAAACTAGGTGATTTACCCGTGCTCATGCACGGGTATGAATATTCATAAAAGTAAAATTTTATAATAATTGATTGATATTTAGTTTTAGTTTTGAATCAATTTATATTAATAAATATTATACTATTCTAATTATACATATGACATTGGATATATTATTATCGGTTTAATTATTTTTTGGATCAATAGTCGGTTTGGTTATCAATTTGGTATATTGAATAATATCTACTTTTCAAATTTAGCTATAATATTTTTTGTTCTAAATATAATAAAACTTTGATTAATTTTCTTATTTTCATCTCGGTTGGTTATTATTTTTAGATATGTAAATGTATTCTTAAATATGTAAATATATTATAGTTAAATTATGTATAACTTAATATATATTTTACTTAAACTGAAATAAATAATAAGCCGAAGTGTTTGATTCCAAATTACATAAATAAATAAAATGATAAGATTTTGAAGTCTCATGCATATATATAAATTTTAAAAAGAATTAAAGTGTAATTGGTTAATATTTTCTTTTTCTTTTTAATATGTTTTGAATCAACCTCTCATTTATATGTATCAAATTAAATAGATTATTATTATTATTACAAAATTATATGTTCTTATTGTAGTTAAATTTTTAATTTTGATATAAATTAGAGTCAAATCATTCATTTTGTGAGTATATTGAGTTAAATATATTTTTAATTTAAAATTGAAGTATAATTACTTTTTATTTTAGTTAAGTCAAATCAAATTAGTTTTATTTATCGCTGAAATATACATGTATTTTCATAATTTATTCACTCTTTATTTTAGTTAAGTCAAATCAAATTAGTTTTCTTTATCGCTTAAATATACATATATTTTCATCATATTTATCAAATTAAATGTTGATTTTTAAAAATATTAGAAAATAAAGTGTAACTGATAAATTTTTGGAAGTTTATCAACATATATATTTTTATTATTTTGCAAAAATAGTTTATGTTATTTAAACTATATATTAAATGGAGGTATTACTATTTTGTGAACTTTCCTTTTTAATAAAGTCATATTATCTACATATATTTTCGTTTTTAAATTTTTTAGAAATATTTCCATTTATTATATACTAGGTGTTTTTCCCGCAAATGCGGGCTTAATTATCTTTTAATCAATTTAAAAATCATCAAAATAAATAATTATTTGCATCCAAAAAAATCTGATCGAAAACATTAAACTTTTCTACATGATAAAATTATTCACAAATTAAAAAACCTATTTTTTTCCTTTAAAACTTTGAAAAGTCTAAAGTATATTTCATTTCTTTTTAACTGATAAAAATATAGAAATCTATCTTTCCATTTGAAAAATTGAATAGATAAATATACATTCAAAAATTAATCGTACAAAAAGAATAATATTAGTTTGGATAATAATACAATATATTCGAATTTATTTTTATCAAACACGTATTTTCTTTCCTTTTTAATGATATTTTATTTTATATGATTAATTCATGTTTAAGGTTTAACTATATACAATTTAAATTTAATTTAACGTGTGAGTTCAGAAAAATAATTTCACAAATATATACATATATCATTATATTATATTCTATTATTATATTCTTTTAATAAATAATTACATATTATATTTTTCAGTTTTCTCTTTTGAATTATATACAATTAAAAATTTTATTTTATGAATATTTATTTATGTGTTTTTTTGAATTTTTTAATTAAATATATTTTCCGGATAATAACACAATATATATATATAAGAATTATCTTTTTCTTTTAAATATTTATTTAAATTATGGATAATTCTTATCATTATTACNATTATATTTTTCAGTTTTCTCTTTTGAATTATATACAATTAAAAATTTTATTTTATGAATATTTATTTATGTGTTTTTTTGAATTTTTTAATTAAATATATTTTCCGGATAATAACACAATATATATATATAAGAATTATCTTTTTCTTTTAAATATTTATTTAAATTATGGATAATTCTTATCATTATTACTAATTTAAATTATTTATCTAATCAAATAGGTATTAAATTCGTTTTTATTTTTGGCTAATTTATAATTATTCATTAAGGGTATAATCGATATTAGCCACTCCAACTTTTAACGTGAGAGCTCCGTTGCGAAAAATCACTTCGCAAATAATAGTATAGATGTTATTTGGAAAAAGGTAAAAAAAAAACTAAATAAAAAAAAATTAATAATAATTTTAAAATCCAACAATTCATTAAGGGTATCTATGTAATCAACCATCGCGAGAGCTAACGTGAACGCGACACGTAGGAAACTGACTTCTCAAATAATATTATAGAGATAGCCAAAAAAAAAAAACCGGTTTGATCCGGTTCGCGAAACTATTAGCAAGACCGAAATAATAAACCGGGAGAAGAGTTAGAAGATCTCGAGAAGAGTCTTACGGTGGGAGAGAGAAAGGAGGAGAGAAGTAAAGGTTACTACTACTGTACATGGTCGTCGAAATTCAAATAAACACAATCAGATTCAGCAAAGAAGGAGACTAATTCATTGCGAGATGAGGCCGAACATTGTTACCGAGGTTAGATCTACTATTTTCCTCGATCTCTATCAGAAATTGCCGAGAAAAAAACTCTGCTAGTGAACGAGCTTTGGCTGATAGCTAGAATCCATACGATTGGTTGTTAGTTAGGTAGAATTAACTAGTTTTTAGTTTGATTCGGCGTAGCTTTGTGGCGAATCGTTTACTGTAGTAGTAGTTGGGGTTTATATGTAGCAAACGTCCGTTTGTAAAATTGATCCGTGAAGTTTGTGTTGTTTAAGTGGTTTCTTCGAGTTCTGGATATATTATTATATTGTGAGCTTCACCGATTTATCCTACAATAAACTCTGGCTTTTGATCAATCAGAATATGGAAAGATATTTGAAATTAACTAAAGAGTTAAATTATAAACGGGTTTCTATGTGTAGCCATTGGCACAATGTTTAGTTATAATCCTAGTAAAGGTCTTTTATAGTTCTGGAATCAGAAAATTTGGGTTTCTATGTGTAGCCAAGTATAGATTGGGACAATGTTTAGTTATAAGCCTAGTAGAGGTCTTGTATAGTTCTGGAAACAGAAAATTAGGGTTTCTATGTCTAGTCAAGTATAGATTGGGACAATGTTTAGTTATTAGCCTAGTAGAGGTCATGTACAGTTCTGGAATCAGACAATTAGGGTTTCTTTGTGTAGCCAAGTAGAGATTGGGACAAGATTTAGTTATAAGCCTAGTAGAGTAGAGGTCTTTTATAGTTCTGGAATCAGAAAATTAGGTTTGTTTTGTGTAGCCAAGTATAGATTGGGACAAGATTTAGTTTTAAGGCTACTAGAGTAGAGGTCGTTTATAGTTCTGGAAGCAGACAATTAGGGTTTCTATGTGTACCCAAGTATAGATTGGGACAAGGTTTAGTTATAAGCCGTCTTTTATAGTTCTGAAAACAGACAATTAGGGTTTCTATGTTTAGTCAAGTGGAGATTGGGATTATAAGCCTAGTAGAGGTCTTGTATGTTTCTGGAATCAGAGACAGTCGTATGTGATTTCTGTGTGTTCTTGTTTTCTTATAGGCTGGTGTTCAAACAAGAGTTTCGCAATGGTGGAATGCAATACCATTCCTCACGTCATCAGTGGTGGTAGTTTGTGGGATCATTTACCTGATTTGCCTCTTAGCTGGATACGACACTTTCTATGAAGTCTGCTTCTTACCCTCCGCAATACTGTCACGTTTCCAAGGTATGTTTCATGGAATTGGAATTAAGACTCATATTACTCATCGAGGTTGTTGATGTTCCTGATGTCACTAAAGATTACATTTTTCTGAAGGATATACTCTCTTGTGTTAACTGTTACTGGTTTTAGGTGTATTCTTTTGATTGAGATATCTGAACTGTCTTGGTTGTTTTTCTCTTGTTCATTCTTTTATACCGTTATCTACTGTGCAGTTTATAGGTTTTACACGGCAATTATATTCCATGGATCCATGCTTCATGTTATGTTTAACATGATGGCGTTGGTTCCTATGGGTTCCGAGCTGGAGAGAATCATGGGATCTGTCCGCTTGTTTTACCTCACAATTTTGCTAGCAACGACCAATGCCATATTGCATCTTCTGATAGCATCCTTGGCGGGATATAATCCTTTTTATCAGTATGACCATCTTATGAATGAGTGCGCAATTGGATTCTCTGGAATTTTGTTTTCTATGATTGTCATAGAGACAAGTCTCAGTGGAGTCACCTCTAGGAGGTAAGACTTTTTGTATTAGCTATTTAAATATTTTTTTGCACATCCTTTGTATTCATGAGGCATCTCATATATCTTTTTTTGCTGCTTTCTTTTTCTGTGTAGTGTGTTTGGTCTCTTCAACGTGCCCGCTAAACTGTAAGCTTCTTGTCTTTCTTGTCGGGTTGCTAATGTTCACTTGCTTTCCTTGTTGCACATATGATGTAAATTTTGTATCCATTTGCAGATATCCATGGCTCTTGTTGATAGCATTCCAACTTCTCATGACAAATGTTTCACTGCTTGGACACCTATGTGGCATCCTCTCTGGATTTGCATGTATGCTATTTTACCTGTTTCGTTGCCTCCGGCTTTCTAAACCTGAAGTTTCTCTGGTAGCTAATTTGTTAGCCGCTTTGGATTTCAGATTCTTATGGCCTTTTCAATTTCTTGATGCCCGGCTCTTCATTTTTCTCCACCATTGAGTCAGCCTCCTGGATGGTAAGTAATTTAGAACATTAAGCTTCTCGAACCTACAATATACATGACTTTCTTTGAATCAATCCTCGCTTATTCGGATTCTTTGTCTTTTACCAGGCTAGCTGTGTAAGGCGGCCTAAATTCATTATGTGCACTGGTGGAAATCCTTCGAGCTACATGCCCACTTATTCTGTACAAAACACAACATCCAGGTGCGAACCTCTAACTACCTTCGAAAAACAGAACTGCTTGCCTAGAGACCATTGTAATGAGACAATGTTCTTTGAACAGTGGTTTCTCTACCGGAAATGCTTGGAGATCCCTGTCATCATGGCTGCCACAGAGGGAAGCATCTAATCAGGTAATCTTGCCTCAGTGCCTACCACTTCCTTTTGGCTTGGTGGATGCAGTCACAATTTCACATATATGATCTAACCATAGTACTTGACTTGCAGTCTTCTGAGGATAGTAGATTTCCGGGAAGAGGTAGAACTCTTAGCGGTACTGCCCGTGACCCAACCCCTCCAGCTGGAGAAACAAACCCAAACCTCCATGCTAGACTCTTGGAAGATAGCACTCCTGACCGCCTTTCTGATGCAACTGTGACTGGCATGACAGAGCCAATCCCCGCCCCAAGGTATTTGATTTCTAGAATGTCTAAACTTATCAGCTTACTATGCATCATTCCTTCAACCTCAGCCGCTTTTGTCAACCTTTTTGCAGACAGGTGCCTATAGCAAATGCAGCAGTAGTCCTGCCTCAACCCCAGGTTAGTTCCTTCGCTTCAGAGCTGAGCTCTTTCAAGGCATCTGGAATCTTTTTTTCTAATTGTAACTGTTAGACGCAGGGTCGTGTTGCTGCTTCTGAAGAACAAATCCAGAAACTCGTAGCCATGGGCTTCGAAAGGGTACGTTTCTTTGATTTTATACCAACCGTAACAAATAGCTAAAAAAGCATGTCTCAAAGTCTCTGGGGTTTGATTCAGACACAAGTGGAGGTGGCACTTGCAGCTGCCGATGACGATCTAAACGTAGCTGTGGAGATCTTAATGAGCCAACAGGTGAAACTTGTCCGAACCAAATTTCTATAACATATCAAAACCTCCTTTTGACTTTAGTCAATTCTAACTAAGAAGTCATTTAACTTGGTGATATGCAGGGCTAGCATATACCAAATTGCAAAGTATTACAATTGGCTTGTACTGTAAACATTCGTCTCTCCTTCCATGTTTTACTTGCATTTAGAGACTGTATAGCGTGTCTGTTTAACCAGACGATCAAACCGGTTTAGAATCTATACAAACGAAGGGTTGGGTTGAGTTTTGTTTTTGTTGCAGAACTCTCACTTATTTGCAGAAAACTTAAAACAGAAACCTGAATTAGTTCGGCTTTGGTTTGGTTAACTATGTGATTGCAATTTCAGTGAAAACAAATTGTTTAATGACACATTTTTATTTTGTTCATACAAAACGGAATAAAATAAAAAAGTAGTCATCACATGGTGTACTCGCTAGCTCTTGTGTTAGGTTTCTCTAGGTGGTCGCACGATTATAATTGGACATGTTGCATGTTGGGCACAGTAATCACTCACACTTCCTAGAAAGGCCCTGCATGTATATCCACAAATGCCCAACACATTTGACCAAAAAGGTTCTCTCATGTATACAAAATGAAGAAGTTGTAAACCTTTTGACCATGCCGAGTCCACGGCTACCAACAACAAGAAGATCAGTATGGGTTTGCTCGACCGCTTGGCAGATCATCTCCTTTGGATCCCCTTTCAATATCATCGTTTCTGTCTTCACCTACATAACCCAAAAACTTGAGACGGTCTTCTTGCAGATTCATCCAATGTAAGATATCACGTGTCATAATACTGTTTTTAGGGAGTACTTGAACGTACACATGTTCTGAGATCACCGACCATTTTGGCACGACATAACTCCAACGCTGGTGAGAACAAGTTGGTGCTCTGTACTCCTGCTTTCTTCATTATTTCAGGAACTGAATCTGTCGCCGAAGCTACGAGTTTTCAAACCCAACCTCAATAATCAAAATATTGATTAGAGTAAAAGAAATAAATGAGAAGCGTTGTTTGTTTTATTCACCGGTTGCACCAGAAGGATTAACATGAACCAAGGTAAGTAAACCGCCTTCTTGACCGGTTTCCGGTTCGGCGCTCATAACATCTTTGAGATGTTCCAATGCCCATTCCAACGCATAGAAGCTGTCCTTGCTTTCATCTATCGCAACCATTACCTTCAACTTCTTTTTGTTCTTTGAGCTCTCCGTCGTTGCTGTGTCCACACCAACCGCATCAACGTAAGTCTCCTCCATTTTTATGTCCTTACGGTTTACAAATTTGTTATTATTCGGCTACACTCTTTGATATGTATAAAATGTTTGTGCCGTGTGGGTTACGTAATGCTAATGTATATACTGCGTAGGTGGAATGTGAAGTGTGTTAACAGATGTTTTATGATGGATTTATGGATGGACACATCTCATTTTTGTGATGGAGACGTGTCTTGTTACTGACGTAGACAATTGTTAGTGCATGGTGGAAGAAGCTCGCTTTTAAACTCTAGAGACTATTAAGTTTCTCAGGCTGCAACAGAAACACAACATTACTTTACTCCTATCGTTTTCAAAACCTAAAAACAGTTCTTTGAGTGTGGCACTCGAAAAGTCGCTTCCAAGGAAGTGACCGTTGTTCTAGGTAGACTTCTTTAATACTCATCCGTCTTACTATTGATTGTTTCGCAATTATGGCAGCCAAGAGTATCAAGACTTCTTTGGACTGACTTGGACTGTTTGCATGCGCGCACATTACTCGAGATTCATTCATTCTTTTCGTAGGTCTCGTCTATTTTCCTTTGAAACTGAAAAGAATAACTCTGTAAGGTAGGCATAGCTTTCTATCGTTTTTTTTTGTTTTGTTTCCGTTCCTCTTTTTTTCTGCTGTATTTTTGGAGTACAGTTTCTGACTTTATGTGACTCTTGTTCTACTAATCTCTGAAGGGTAATCTTCTAAACGTTGTTTCTTAACTCCTTGATCTTTTCGACACTGTTAAGAATGTGGTTTGAGTCCATAGTATAATCATTTCTTTTTGTTGCTCCAACAAATGTTTTTTTTTTTCCCTTCAGGAATCTGTAACACAGAAATGGCTAAGAAGTTCATTTGGGTGATAAAGGACTTCTCTTCTAAATATAAGATGTATTCCTCTCTTCCAGTACTGATCGGTGACTGCAAATGGTTAAAAAAAGAAGAAGATTCTAACGTTCTTGTCGTTCTACATATAGGATCGCTCATATCCATGTTTTTTTTTTTACTCGTCTCTTGTTTTCTTCAGGTACCTTACCACCTATCCCATGGAAAACGATACTTCCTTGTGTATTGGTCTTGTAGTTTCTGATTATGAATCACTGCCTTCCGGTTGGAGAAGATACGTAAAGCTTCGGCTATCTGTAGTAAAACAAATGTCGACCGAACCCGCAGAACGTAGAGGTTATTCTCACTTCAGTCTACTGACCACTTAATCCATTTCTTTGAATATCCCTTGCTAGGTTGAAGTGTCAGTAACATATATATATCAATTCATGCAGCTTGTTGTTAAATCTTCTCATAGCACATAGATCTTGTTATGCTGCGAGTCAATATTTTTTTCTGTGATATATAAAGTATTTCTGGAGTATTATGCTGCTCTATGGTGTTTTTCTTTTTTTGGAGCAGTTTAGTGCATAGTGATACTTTGCTCGATCTTGTTATTCAAATGAATTTTTATTGCTTACAGAAGCGCATCTCCGGTTTGATCAGAAGAACTTGGGGATGGGATTTTTAGCAGCTGTTCCTCTTACCGAAATACTAGACGAAAAGGAAGGGTTTCTTGTAAATGGAGAAATCGTAATTGCAGCTGACGTTGAAGTTCTTGAAGTGATTGACACATCTGATTGTTTAGAAGAATTTGAAGGTGAATGCAAATTTCTGGGAGAGATGAAGCAAGATGATGATCCGAAGCCTTGTGATATACTCAACAAGAATCAAGAGAGTATCAATGTAAATGGGTTTCAGGTTCTTCCATCACAGGTATATGGAATTGTGAAAATTTCTGATTACAAAGAATGGTAGTATCTCATATGCTTTGTTGTATAATCTGTCTTTCACTTTCAGGTCAATTCTGTTAAACGTATTTTTGAGAGACATCCAGACATTGCATCCAAATTTCGTTCAAAGAACGAAAATCTGAGGAAAACATCTATGAATTTCCTGCTCAGCTTAATCGAAACGCTATGCCAATCTCTTCAGGAGCTCTCTAGTGAAGATCTTGTGGATGCAGACACTGCGCTGACATACTTGAAAGATGTTGGCTTTGAAGTGGATTGGTTGGAGAGGAAGCTAGACCAAGTAAAAGAAAAGAAAGAAAAAGAAGTGGCTAGTTCTGCTCGGCTACTGAAACTGAAGAGAAAATGTTCAGACCTTGATGATCTAGTGAAAGAGGAGGAGGCAGAGTTGTCGGCCACCAGAACCCCTTTGTCATTCGATGATTTAATTTGATCTCTTGTGTTCTTACACATTTTGTTGCTGTTCTCATATCTTTTTGGTTTCAAAATAGAAGTCCTCTTGTAAGGAAATTCAACTGCAGTTTAAATAAAAGTGCATTTTAACTTTATGGTCAATCAAAGTTTCGGCTATCACTGAGATGTGGACAAATTCATCTCTGTCTGGAACTTTTATTCTTGGAAAGTTGTTAGGCTCTTATGCTATGCTCAGGTACTTGTTCCCTAGGCAATAAGTAACTCCTTACTTGAAGTGGCAGAAGCTGGAGTTGATGTTCTTGGATCTTGAAACTCAACAGCTGCAGATGGAAAATGTAGGTGGAATGTGGAGTGTGTTAACATTTAAGTGGAATGTGGAATGTGGAGTGTGTTAACAGATGTTTTATGATGGATTTATGGATGGACACATCTCATTTTTGTGATGGAGACGTGTCTTGTTCCTTACCTAGACAATTGTTAATTCACAGTGGAGGAAGCTCGATTTTTAATACTACATTCAGTAATTTATCATAAATGGTTTAATCTTGCTGGCTTGTATGACCTCGCATGCATGCGTTACCAATACTAACACTTTCTCAGTTTAAGTTCCCTAAGCAATAAGTAACTTCTTGTTGGGAACCTGCGATGAGGATTATAAGCGAATTACTTTCTTCCTCGAGGTAATCAAAGTGTTTTTTGCACTTCTGTTTCTCTCTTCAAAAAGTTGAAAAGAAGAACATGGATGGTTTCTTACAGCACCAATCGAGTAGCTTCTTTTGGTGTGTGGCACTCGAAAAGTCGCTTCCTATGGAGTGTGTCTACGTAGACTTCTTTAATAGTGAGTATTTCGGAAGAGTAATAATTCGAAATTATGCATGGCAAGAGTAGCAAGTCACGAGGCGTGACTTGGGCCTGTGTACTCGAGATTCATTCATTATCTTCGTAGATATATATAAAAGATAAGCATAACTCTTTAAGATAAGCATAGCTTTCTTTGGTTCTTGTCTCTGCTCCTTTTCTGAACGATTGTCTTCTTTATTACAGAAATGGCCAAGGAAGTTGGTAAGAAGTTCACTTGGGTGATAAAAGACTTCTCATCTTTAGAAACTGAGAGGTATCACTCTGATCCAGTCGTTATTGGTGACTGCAAATGGTAAAAAAAGAGAAGATCCTAATGTCCTTATCGATCTAGAGATTGGATCCATTGTTTTGAATAGTGACTCTGTCTCTTCTTGCTTTCTTCAGGTATCTATTTATTGATCCCAAGAAGGAAAACGTTGATTCTTTGTATATGGGTCTTAAAGTTGATTCTGGTTCATTGCCTTCTGGATGGAGAAGATACGTCAAGCTTCTTCTATTTGTAGCAAGAAAAAAATTGGGAGAACTTGAATTACTGAAAGGTGATTCTTACATGAATCATCTGACTACTTGATCCATTCACATATATATAGAGTAAAAACATTTTAGATAAATATTTCAGTTCATTCATTTTCTTGTTGAATCTTCACTAGCACAGTGCCCCGTTTCATGGAGTCCTATGTTCCTATAGGGTGGTTTAGCTATTCGAGTAACTTAGTCTATGATGATACTTTGATTGATCTTGGTTAACTATTTTGAATTAATTTCTATTGTGTACAGAAAATCATCTCTGGTTTGATCAGAAGACACTGGCCTGGATATTTCCAACTAATGTTCCTATAACCAAACTCATTGACGAGAAGGAAGGGTATCTAGTAAATGGAGAACTCGTGATTGTCGCTGAGGTAGATGTTCATGAAGTTATTGGCACATATGATTGCTCAGAAGAATCTGAAGATGAAAATGCATCTATGTCTGAGGTGAAGCCTTGTGATACACTCAGCCAGACTCAAGAGAGCATAGATGTCAATGGGTTTAAGGTTCTTCCATCACAGGTAAAAAACTTGTGTAATACTGTAAACTTCTTCATTTTTTTTAAGGTTCTCTTATATGCTTTTTTGTACATCTGTCTTATGCTTACAGGTTAATTCTGTGAAACGTATTTTTGAAGCACATCCAGACATTGCTGTAGGCTTCTTCTCAAGGAACCAACATCTGAGGAAAACATCTATGAATTTCCTGCTCAGCTTAATTGAAACGCTATGCCAGTCTCTTCAGGAGCTCTCCAAGGGAGACCTTGTGGATGCAGACACTGCGCTGACATACCTGAAAGATGTGGGGTTTAAAGTTGACTGGTTGAAGAGTAAGCTAGACGAAGTTAAAGAAAAAAAGGAGAAAGAAGAGTGTACTTTGGCTCTGCTAATGAAACTGAAGCAATTTTCAGATCTTGATGCTCTAGTTGAACAGGAAGAGGCTGAGTTGTCGGTCACCAGAACCCCTCTGTCATTTGATGATGTTGTTTGATCTCTTGATCAGTTCTTACACATTTGTTGATCTTCTCTTGTCTTAATTTCTCTTTTTTGTTTCAAAATAATAAGTGCTTCTTGTAAGGCAATTGAACTTAAAGTTGAAATAAAAGTAATATTTTTATGTCACGTTCTATCATAGATTCTGCTGTCACTGAACTTATGTCTGTTCTGTTAAAGTTTTTATGTACTTGTGCAGGAAGTTGTCACTTTAGGTCATTTATTGAAAAGACTCAACTGAGGCGTGGCAAATAAGTCAAGTATCAAAGTTTACTGATCTGGATTTTTTTAGAGAAAACTGGAGTTGAATATACAGGTTTACTTGAAGAAAAGAATCATGGCTACAAGAAACTATGGTCGATGATTAAATCTTATCTTTTATATGCATCTGTATGACCGGTTTTTTGTTAACTCATAATCAGGGCTGCAAAAGATAATGCTGATTCTGCTTGGAAACAAAGCAAAGATGGAATAGGGTATGTTGTTGATCTTATCATTTATACAGGTAGAATCTGTACGACATATCTTTAAAAGACATTCAAACATTGCAGTAGAGTTCCGTGCAAAGAAATATCTGAGAAAAAGCATGCATGGATTTTCATGTTCAGCTGCTTATCGAGAAGCTGTGCATATACGATCATTTAAAAATAATACATGGTTAATCGTGTCATGGTAGAATATTTTTGTATTATTAAGTAGCATGCACCAATAGTCACTCTTGCTCAGTTCATGTTCCCTAAGAAAAACAACTAGTCCCAATGTAATAAAAACCTTTTGCATTCCTTTTTTTCTCTTCAAAGTTGAAAACAAGAAGTTGAATATTTTCTTATAGTTGTTCTGCTGTATCTGAGCTCTACTGCTCTTCATTTACGCAATTCAGAAGGGTAGCCCTTTAACAGAAATGGCCAAGCAAGTTGGTAAGAAGCTCACTTGGGTGGTAAAGGACTTGTCCTATCTACCATGTGTTATCTATTACTCTGATCCAGTCCTGATCGATGACTGCGAATGGTAAAAAGAAAAAAAAGATTTCTAACGTCCTTGGTGGTCTACATATAAGATCGTTAGTTACTCTGTCTCTTCTTCTTTTCTCCAGGTGTCTTTTTATCGATCTCAAAGAAGACAACAGTAATTCCTTGTATATGGGTCTTGAAGTTTATAATTCTAAATCATTGCCTTGTGGATGGAGAAGAAACGTAAAGCTTCGGTTATCTGTAGCTAAACAATATTCTGGAGAACTTGCATTACTGAGTGGTGATTCTTACTTACTTCATCCATTACTTAGTTATATATATAATTAATAATAGAGCAAATGTTTCTGATAAATATATTCAGTTCATGTTTTTTCTTTGTTAAATCCTCACATAGCACAGAGGTGTTGTTATGTTGCTCTAGGGCTAACTATTGGGTATGTATATCTGTTTGCTACAGAATTGAATCTCTGGTTTGATAAGAAGAGCCCGGGCTGGGGATTTCCAACTAATGTTCCTCTTACTGAACTCCTTGACGAAAAGGAAGGGTTTCAAGTAAATGGAGAACTCATGATTGTTGCTGAGGTAGATGTTCATGAAGTTATTGGCACATTTGATTGCTTTGAAGAATCTGAAAGTGCATATGAATCTCAAGAGAACATCGATGTAAATGGGTTTCAGGTTCTTCCATCACAGGTCAAAAAAAAAACTTGTGTAATACTGCAAACTCTTCATATTTTTCCAGATCTTTAAAGAATGCTCTCTCTCATATGCTTTTGCAGGTTTAATATGTGAGATGTATTTTTGAGAGACATCCAGACTTTGCAGTAGGGTTCCGTTCAAAGAACCAACATCTGAGGACAACGTATATGAATTTCCTGCTCAACTTAATCAAAACGCTATGCCAATCTCTTCAGGGCCTCTCCAGTAAAGATCTTGAAGATGCAGACACTGCGCTGACACACTTGGGAGATGTTGGCTTTGAAGTGGGTTGGTTGGAGTGTAAACTAGATGACATGAAAGAAAAGAAGGAGAAAGAACAGTTTAGTTTGGCTCTGCTACGAGAAATGGATGATAGTTTATTGAAACTGAAGCAAAAATGTTCAGACCTTGATGCCTTAGTGGAGAAAGAGGAGGCTGAGTTGTCGTCCATGAGAGCTCCGATGTCATTTGATGATGTTGTTTGATGCCTTGAGGTTATTAGGCATTTTTGTGATCTGTTGTCTTAGGTTCTCACTTAGTTTCAAAACAAGAGGATCTGTTGTTTGTGTTGTTACTTGTTTACCAAGTCATCTATGACACAATGAGTTATATTTGACGAGAAACTAATCACTTCTTGCCTGAAACATTGATCTTGGAGATTTCTTACGCAAATGGAGTTCACAGGCAAGAAAGCGTTGTGTGAAATATAGACAGACTAATGATGAATTAAGGTTAATAAGTGGGTGAGAAACAGTTATGTATTTACACATTTCCTCGTTCTTTTGTCTTATTTCTTATATGCAAATTTACGTCAATTATCTACTATTCAAAACACTATGTATATGTTTAATCTATATTCTATTTTGTTTCTATATAAATTCAACACAAAGAACATATAAAGCACAGGTTGGAATGTTAAAGAAAATGAAAAAAAAAAACAAAAAAAAACAGGAATAACAGAGTGTCAGTTTCTAATAATACATGGTTAACCGTGTCACGTTATAAAAATATCAGAGTGTCAGTTTCTATATAACTTAACTAGGTCAAACCCGCCCTACGGGCGGGCGGATGAGTAAATAAAAAACAATAGAAAATATATTTCTTTTAAATATTTAATTCTAATGTTTATTTTACTTATATAATGAAATATTTATATTAAATTACTTGGAACAAAAATTTAAAGTTCAATACATAAATGAAGGATTAGTTTGAAGTTCAATGCATAAATTAGGAATTATTTTCCTATCTTATACATTTGTTTCTGAATGTATTATTACCTTTTTCTCTTACATGTTTTTTAAATATATTGATTTAGATAATATTTAAATGAATCAATATAAAACTTGTTTTCTAAAATTTGATAGATAGTATAAAAACTAATATTTATTGTTTCTATTTAACAATTTACATACTTATAGAAACTTTTAAATAAACTATATCATGCAAACTGATTAGATTTTTAAAAAAATTATTGCTAGATATAGAGTATGATTGATTTATATTTTTAAATAATTACATTGTAAAGAATATTTTTGTACATTTGTCTAATGTAATATATATAATTAATATATTTTTTACTTTACAAATTCTAACCATATTTATCATTTTTAAATAATTTTTGTTTTAATCATATATATTTTATTCATAAGATGTATTGTGTACTACATTTTTTATTTATATTTTTAAATAATTACATTTTAAAGAATAGTTTTTTACATTTTTATTATTGAATATATATAATTAATATATTATTTACTTTACAAATTTTAACCATATTTATAATTTTTAAACAATTGTTATTTTAATAATATATATTTTATTAATAAGATGTATTGTGTACTACAATTTTGGATTAAGTAACACTTTGAATCTCTTTTTCAAATAGAAAGTTTGAACTTGAAAAATGTTAATTAAAACGTCAAATATAATATTAGATGATATATAATAATATAACTATTATAATAAATAAATAATTATTGATGTACACAACTTTATGCCCATACACAGCATACATGCTATGTTTAACTCATGTAAACATACAACGTACACTATGGAGTGACAGTCAACGGGTGGAGGTTGATGTTGTAGAATTCATCGTCTGTTGCAGATATGGCCAGAAACAGTGTTGATTCGATAGTGTTCTGTTCCGTGGTGCGTGAGAAAAGTGGCAGTTAATGTAGACTTGAATTTTTCTATGGGGACTTTCCAGGTGAGAGAGACTGTGATGGTGCACATGTTGACTTCTGCAAAAGTGTTTTCTGAATCAATGATGATGTATGGTTTCTGAGAGTTGTGGTATTTATAGGTGAATGGTGAGTCCCTGTTACTTTCTAACGTCGTTGGACATCTCATCAACTCTTCATGTAGCTTGATTACCGTTTTTCCAAGTAATTTCTTTCTTTTTTTTCTGTAACCAGACCCTCCTCTTCTATCTGCGAAAGTTTTCAGTATCAGATATCATGAAGCATATTAGTTGAATAAATTAAAGGAATGATGATGATAAGTCTGACTCAGATAGAACCCAGCCTTATCATTAATCAAACATCAAACTATTATGTAAAGTCTGACTCGTATAGCCAACATCAAAGATAGTAGTGTTTTTTTTTCTTGTGTGTGCATAAGATGGTGTTAGGAGATATGTGTACCTTCGTAAGCTATCAGAAGAAGATGATCTGAGAGAAGGGTCTCAAGACTCAAGGTTTGATGAAGACTCAGTTTCTGATTATCTCCTTGAATTACCATTCATGGTCTCTGTTTTGCTCTATAAGAAAAATGAAAATTGAGATCACTGAACCTGAGCAGAAGACAGCAAAGACAAAGATTAAAAGAGTGAAAGTTTTTTACTCTACTAAGAACATGATTCGTATGTGCAGGGAATTCGAGGCTTGTTTCTTAAACCTCTCAAAGACTTTTAATCTCTAAGTAAGGAATGACATCTACTAACAATATTTATTTATGTGCAAAGATGTGAGATATTAACTACAAAGTGCAAATTTGAGCTTTTCTTATAGGTTGGTGTTTGTAATGTCACCAGTAGAAGAGAAACTGAAATGCATATATACAGATTGACTATTGGAACCCCTTTGAAAAATAAGTTGCTGATGTGATCATGATGTACAGAAACATAACCAAAACATAATTCCTAGAGGCAAGAAACGAAAAAGCCAATTCGAAAAACCTAGATTCCTATTTATTCTAATAATGATCAAACCATAACCTTGATAGTTATGCATTACGTAGAAATGGCCAGGAACTCATGACGGCGCATATATGGAAAGCCAACGGTTTAAATTATATTCTCCGTTAAGTAACTAAAACCGTTATGCCTTCACCCTCACGATCCTCGTCAGCATTCACCAAAACTATTTTTCCCATATTTAAACCCGAAATACTCTTCGTCGTGTTGCCACACTTGTTTGATGAAGCTTGGATTCTGACACTCTCGTCTTCTAATCGGCGGTGAAAACGAAATGATCCAAGGTGCATCGCGGAGGGCACACATTTTCGCTTCTAGTTCGAGTCGGCGGCAGAGAGATTAAAGTATTTTTCCCAAGAAAAGACCTCTTTAAACGGAGGTTAATATTGCAAAGAGACGTGGATCTTTAATATGATGATGATGATTACTGAACTTCCAAAGGAAGGTAAAAAAACTTCCAAAGGTATAAAGATAAAGAATGAATTTCACTAAGAGAAACTCACATATTTATAGTTTTAGATTCGCTATGGAAGAAAAAGAGTGTATTAGAGATTACGTGAGGAATGGGGAGATGTGGTAATGAAAGCTTTAATGATGATTCAGTCAAGAAAAAAAAGCTTTAATGACGACCCTTGAATGTGGTCAACCTCTTTGATAGTGCCAAAGTTGTTGTTGTGCTTAGATAAAATTATTGAAAGCCCAAATTATTAATCGTGTAAAGTTTTAGTCATATAGAATTTGGTAAGCAATAGTTGTAGCCTAGTTTACGGGCCCATAAAATCTGAAGACGAATCAAAATTTTAAACACGTGTCAGAAGCTCATGATACTATTTGATGACGTGTAATGTTCAGGAGGGAGAAAACCCTCTTTTATATATATAGATTATAGATTATTAACTAGCATGCACCAGTAGTTTACTCATGGTCAGTTCATGTTCCCTAAGCAAAACAACTAGTCCCAACGTATTAAAAACGTTTTGCATTCCTGTTTTCTCTTTAAAGTTGAAAACAAGAAGTTGAATATTTTCTTAAAGTGGTGCAGCTGTGTCTGGGATCTACTGCTCTCCATATATACGTGGTTCTGAAGGGTAACCCTTGAACCATTGATCCTCGACATATGTAAACCTTTAAGAGTGTTGTACATTGTTGAAATAACTCTGAGTCTACACTAGAATGTTGGTTAAACTATACTATTCTAGATGGTTTTTCTTTTCTTCAGGTTTTCGAAATTTGACTTTTAAGTAATCTTTATTACAGAAATGGCCAAGCAAATTTGTAAGAAGTTCACTTGGGTGATAGAAGACTTCTACTCTATATACAGTGAGATGTATAACTGTGAACCATTCCTGATGGGTGACTGCGAATGGTAGATTCTAATCCCCGATAGAGATAGTATCGTTAATCCACTGTCTCTTGAATGGTGAGTCGTATCTTCTTTTCTTCAGGTACCTTTCTGCCAATGCAGACTACAATTCTTTACGATTTCGTCTAGAAGTTTCTGATTCTGAATCGTTGCCTTCTGGATGGAGAAGATACGTAAAGCTTCGTCTATTTGTAGCAAAAGAAGATTCCATAGAACTTGAATTACTGAAAGGTGATCCTTACTTACTTGATCCATTTCTTTGAACGTCTCTTGTCAGGTTAAGTCATAAGAGTAAACGTTTTTTTAGATAAATGTTTCAGTTAAGTCATTTTCTTGTTAAATTCTTACACCGCACATAGGTCTTGTTATGTTGTTAATTATGTACAACGTTTATTTTATCTTAGTCTATAATGATACTTTGCTTTATTTTGATTAACTATTGGTAATGAATTTATTTTGCTACAGATAATATATTGTGGTTTGATCAGAAGAACAAGGGCTGGGGATTTCCAACTAGTACTGTTCCTCTTACCGAAATCCTTGACGAAAATGATGGGTTTCTAGTAAATGGAGAACTCACGATTGTTGCTGAGGTAAAACTTCTTGAAGTTAGGAGGCACATTTGATTACTCATAAGAATCTTAAGGTGCATATGAATCTTTGTGCGAGGTGAAGCTAGATGATGGTCTAAAGTCTTGTGATCTATTCAACCAGACTCAAGCGAGCATAGATTTCAATGGGTTTCAAGTTCTACTATCACAGGTAAAAAAAAACTTGTGTAATACTCCAAACTCTTCATCTCTAGGGGGTATAAAGCGATTTTTTAATGATTTCACCTACATTTTTTTTAAGGATTTGGGGTCTAAAAAATATTCTTTTGGGGGCCTTTGTACATGTAACTTCTTTCAAAAAATTTGGGAGTAAGGCTAATGTTTCATCCGGCTTGGCTCAACACCGGCCATGCTTTTCCTGATCTCCAAAGAAAGTTCTCTCATATGCTTTTGCAGGTTGAATATGTGAGATGTATTTTTGAGAGACATCCAGACATTGCAGTAGGGTTCCGTTCAAAGAACCAACACCTGAGGATAACATCTATGGATTTACTGCTCAGCTTGATCGAAACGCTATGCCTACCTATTCAGGAACTCTCCAATGAAGATCTTGTGGATGCAGACATTACTTTGACAATCTTGAAAGATGTGGGATTTAAAGTTGATTGGTTGGAGAGGAAGCTAGACCAAGTAAAAGAAAAGAAGGTGAAAGAACAGTCTAGTTTTGCTCGGCTACGAGAATTGGAAGATAGTTTACTGAAACTGCAGCTAAGATGTGCAGACATTCATGCTCTAGTGAAGGAGGAGGAGGCAGATTTGTCGGCCGCTAATGCTCCGATGTCGTTCGATGATGTAGTTATTAGTCATTTTTGTGATCTGTGTTGTCTTAGGTTCTCACTTGGTTTCAAAACAAAACGATCTCTTGTTTGTGTTGTTACTTGTTTATCAAGTTAGTTTCATTTATGAGTTATGTTTGACGAGAAAGTAAATCATTTTTCACCTGAAACATTGATCTTGTAGATTTCTTAGGCTCATAGAGTTCGCAGGCAAAGAAACGTTGAGTGAATATATGACTATGATGAGTTAAGGATAATTACTGGATGAGAAACAGAGTCCTCTGTTTCCAGTTATGATATGATTTATACCTTTCGTTTTTTTTTTCTATTTGTAATATGTAAATTTACGTCAATATTTACTATTCAAAACACTATTAAAAGTTTTGATCTATATTCTATTCTGTTTCTTCGTAAATTCAACACAAAGAACATACTATAAAGCACAGGTTGGAATGTTTAGAAATTGAAAAAAGAAATAGCAGGAATAACAGAGTACCAGTTTCTATATACGATCATTTAATGATAATACATGGTTAAACGTGTGATGGTATAAGAATATTTTTGTATTATTAACTAGTAGCATGCACCAATAGTTACTCTTGGTCAGTTCATGTTCCCTAAGCAAAACAACTAGTCCCAACGTAATAAAAACTTGTTTTTTTTATTAAAGTAGTGTTGCAGTCTCTGGTGCTCTACTTCTCTCCACTTACGTGATTCTGAAGGGTAACCCTTTAAGAGCATCTCCAATGTAAAACTCCATTTTTTCCTCTAAAATGGAGTAAAAGAGAATATGGAGTAAAAATGCTCCAACCCCACTCCATTTTCCACTCCATAATGGAGTGATGAAGAAACAAAAAACAGATTACTCCATAAATGGAGTAAACTCTATTATGGAGTAGAAAATGGAGTAGGGTTAGAGTGTTTTCTACTCCATATCCCCTTTTACTCCATTTTAGAGTAAAAAATGGAGTTGGGTTGGAGATGCCCTAACCATTGATCCTCTATATAAACCTGTAAGTGTGTGTTACATACATAAAATGATAAGTCTGCAGTGGAATCTCATTTTAACTAGATAGAAGATTTTGTTTGATTGGATGCGTGCAGTTCCATCTAAAGTTTTATTCTCGGCATGGTCATGCTTATCGAGAGCAGTTTCCTCAGATCAATGAAGAAGATAGGTGAGAACAAGTTTGCATGGGTGATAAAGAACTTCTCCTCGTTGCTGTATGAAACTTTTCATGAACATACATTTGAGATTGATACTGACTTGTGCCGCTGGTAAAACTTGACACTCTTTTCCTTTTTATTTACATTATCTTTGTTCATTTATATTCCGGTGATTAAGTTCTTTTAATGTTTATCCACAGCCGCCTTTCAGTCACTCCCTATGGAAATAATCCTCAATACTTTGGTTTCCGTATGTTGATTGCTTACGATCCATCATTGCCTCCTGGAATAAAAAGACATTTTAGTTATCGCCTAACTATAGTGAATCCACGTTCGGAAAACCAATCCATTATTCTAGGTGATTTTTACCAAAATTCGCTCATTAGTGGATTCCTTTTTTTTTTATTGGTCTTTGTCACTAATCAGTATCATATACAAGAAGTTCCTGATATTACATTGCATGCATGTACTTGTCACGGTCTTTTTTTTTGTGTCAGTGGTTTAGATCTATCTTAAAATTTTGATGTTGAATAACCAATGTGTGAAACGTTACAGGAGGACCACAGTGGTTTGATTCGCAGACAATGGAATGGGGCTCTGTAAACTTTCCTGGCCTTTCATCACTTCGAGACAAAGATGATGAAGTCAAGATTGTTGCAGAGGTTGATGTTCTTGAAGCTATTGACAAGTTATATATACCAAAGAAACTCGAGAAAACAACCATATCTCAGTGCAAGGTAGAGGAAAAGAATGACGCAGTTTCTAGCGTGTTGCTCAAGGAAGCTTCAGCAATAAAGGTAAGAATCCATGTCAATGGATTCCCAGTTCTTACTTCATATATATTAATGATGTATGCTTCTTGTTACTCTACAAAATACATTAACATTTGTTAATTTTTTCTAATCTGAAGGCAGCTATTTTTTACTCTATAATTTCCACAAAAATAGAGTAACTCTATTTTAAAGTGATTTTTGCTCTAATAATTCACTCTAAAATAAAGTTAATAGAGTAGAAAATAGAGATATATCACTTTTTCACTCTATTTTTGGAGTGAAAAAAAGTGATCTCTTGATTTTCTACTCTATAATAGAGTAACTCCTATTTTTGTGAGAAATATAGAGTAGAAAATAGGTTTGGGTTAGAGATGGTCTAATGGTATATTATTTCAGATTACTAAATAATGCTCTCTCATTTATTTTTTTTGTTCCGTCTCCACTTGCAGGAAGAAACTTTGCGGGGTATCATTGAGAGACATCTAGACAATGCAGTAGGGTTTCGTTCAAAGAGCAAATATCTGAGGAAAGCATGCATAAACTCCCTTCTATTTCTAATAGAGACGTTGTGCCAATCACCAAAAGAGCTTTCCAGTGAGGATCTCGAGCAAGCAGACGTTACATTGACATATCTGAAAGAGACAGGATTTAAGTTTGATTATTTGGATGAGAGGCTGGACCAGGTACAAGAAAAGAAGGAGAAAGAGATGTCTTGTTTGGCCAATCAACAAGAAACAGAGGAAACTCTACTAAACTTGAAGCAAAAGCGTTCAGAGCTTAAGGCAAAGTTGGCGGATTTTAAAACTCCTCTATCATTCGATGATAATGTTTGATGACTTGATGTACTTAAAACATTTTGTGTCGATCTGTTGTCTTTAAACATTAATGTCTAAAGACATCTTTCTCTTTTTTTTGTACTTTCCTTCTCCTCTCAATAAAAGACTAAACTGATAGGCTTTAGGTCAAGTTTCAAAAGTACAATGTTTTTGTAGGTTTCCTACTTTCCTTGAAGAAAAAGATTCAGGGCTAAAAGAAACTAAGCTTGATTATTAAATATTCTCTTTAATATTCATATGTATGACCCTTTTGTTAATTTATAGTTATGTGGAGTATCAAGTCATGATGACCTAAAGGTTCTCACGTAACTTGAGATTCCTGCTTCTTTCTACTACAAGAACAAACTCCACGGAAGAAAAAGACAAGACTCTCTCGCTGAACCTGTAAGATAAGCATATTCTCTGTTTCCAAGTACTTATATACTCTTGTTTTCCTTCTTCTTCCTGTGCCAGCAGAGAGAAATTCAACTAATCACATCACATCAATGGAGAATCCTAACAAGAAAAAGTTTGCTTGGTTAATAAATAACTTCTCCTCTTTGCCATCTGACAAGCTTTATTCTGAACCAGTCCTGATCAGTGGCTTCTATTGGTAAAAAAAAAATACAAGTCTTTCTTTGATTTAGATACAATTGAAGTCAATCATCCATACTTCATTTTGTTTGGTTTGGTTTTCTTTTGGCAGGGATCTTTTCACCTATCCCAAGGGATATAAAGGTGATGATTCGTTGGTTGTGTCTCTCGCCGTTACTGATGGTCAATCATTGCCTTCTGAATGGGCAAGATACGTGAAGTTTCACCTAACTATAGTTAATCAACTTTCTCATGAACTCTCCATACACAGAGGTGAATCTTTACTAGCATCTTCTCACTTAGTTCATTCATATTGGTCAAAAGATCCTTTTCAGTGTCAGTAGAGTTCTCTGTTTCTATATTTTTTTTGTTGGTTAAATAACGGCGTGAAACATTGTTGTACAGAGACAAATATTTGGTTTGATCAGAAAGCTCCAGGATGGGGTTTATCAGGAATGCTACCCTTTGCAAAACTCCATGATAAAGATGGTGGCTTCCTGGTGAACGATGAACTAAAGATTGTTGCTGAAGTTGAGGCTCTTGAAGTTATTGGTACGTTAGATGAGTCTAAAGACAAGACTTCAACATCAGTAGATGAAAGCATTGATGTCAATGGGTTTCAAGTACTTCCTTCACAGGTATGAAACCAAAGAATGGTTTGTGACCTCTCAAACGCTTTCTGACCTCTGTTTTTTACTGGCAGGTGGAATCTTTGAGAGGGATATTTGAAAGACATCCAGATATTGCAGTAGAGTTCCGTGCAAAGAACCAGAATCTGCGGACAGCATGCATGAATTTCTTGCTCAGTCTTAGTGAGATGCTTACCAAAACACTTGAGGCGCTCTCTAGTGAAGACCTTGTGGAAGCAGGCATTGCGCTGACATACTTGAAAAATGTTGGGTTTAAGGTTGATTGGCTTGAGAAGAGTATGGAACAAGTCAAAAGAACATAAAGGACAAGGGACTGTCAGTACAAGTCTCGTCCATAAACTGTAATATGAAAATTGAGTGGCAAGAAAAATACTAAATAAATTGTTATTCCTACATAAGATTTTAATCATATGTGAACCGTAATGTATCGAGAAACTACTAATAGTTACTCGTGTGTCGTATTAAGTTGCATGCATCAATAGTATCTCTCGAGCTTTGTACTAGTAATCTAGTATTATCTTGCATGCACCAACATTTACTGTAGCTTTGTACCGAGTAATTAAGTTGCATGCACCCATAGTTATTCTAGGTTCATGTTCCCAAAGCAATACTCAGACGATTCGCTTTCCTCCTCGACGTAATAAAAACGATTTGCATTCTCTCTCTCTCTCTCTCTCTCTCTCTCTCTCCTCTCCATGTTTTAAAGTAGTCTTGTAGTGGATGAGTTTAATGGCTGCGTCTCTCTTTCTTGAACCCTCTCCTCTGCAGTGTAATAACTTCACCATTTACCCTAGTTCTCTGGTGTATTAAAACAAACGTTTTCACGTCATGTGTTTGGTTCGAACTTAATATTTCATCTTATATCGCTTCACTATTATGTTTTGTTAAGAGTCCATAGTTAATTATTAATTATAGATATTTTTTTTTATGTTTTTTGCTTTGATGACTGTTTGTGAACTGTTGTGCGTGACATACCTATCATGTTTTGGCCACTGTGATTGATCAGACTCTGGAGTCTGTTTGCAATGGTGAATGAAGCTGATAACAAGTTCACTTGGGTGATTAAGGATTTCTCCACTATCAAATCTGAGAATATCATCTCTGATAGTTTTTCTATTGGTTACTGCGAAAGGTACGTGATCGTCTTGTTTTCTAATGTTAGTTGTTTAGATGCTATCCTTCATGGCTTTACTAATTCGTTTTTGACTGTAGGCTTCGTCTTGCTTATACAAAGGGAAATAAAGTTGATTGCGTGTCTCTTTTTCTGGAAGTAGCTCAAGATCATGATTCATTGCCACTTGGACGGAAAAGTAACCCAAAATTCTCACTCAAAGTAGTAAATCAAAAGTCAGAAAAATCCTCTATACTGCTAAGTACGCTTTATTAGCTAGCTCATGGTTTGAACTTTGAACAAACATATTATGTAAGTCTTATGTGATGTGAAATTCTTGCTGTGACTAGATGGGTTCTATGTTTCTTGATTTTACAGAAGGAACCGTGTGGTTTGATCAGAAGACTCCCTTCTTAAGTTTTCATAATTTTCTTCCATTTGCCAAACTTCTTCATTCCAAAGATGGTGGATTTCTCGTGAATGATGAGCTCAAGATTGTTGCTGAGATCGATGTTCTTCAAGTTATCGATGATGTATTAGAGGGATCTCAAGAGGCAGTCCAACCTATGAAAAAGAAAACAAAGACGAATAATTATTATGGTACGGGATCTAGAAGTGATTATTTGCACAACAAGGAAACACAAGTGGGAAACGAAACCATTGACGTAAATGGGTTTCAAGTCTCTACATCACAAGTAAATTAACTAAGACTAGTTATTAACTTTTTTCCTTGCAGCACAAGAACAAGATTCATGTCTCTAAAAACTTTTATGACATGTTTTTCTTATATATCTTGTTTCACTGGCAGGTAGCATCTGTGAGGTGTATATTTGAAAAACACCCAGACTTTGCATCAAAAGTCCGTTCAAATAGTCAGCTTTTGAAGTCATCATACATTAATGCTCTTCTCGGACTAATTGAAACACTCTGCCAGTTGCCTGACAAGCTCTCTGATGATGATTTGGATGAAGCATCTGCTGCAGTTTCATACTTAACCCAAGTTGGCTTTGAAGTGGATTGGTTGGAGAAGAAGCTCGAGGAAGTAAAGGAAAAGAAGAAGAAAGTGAACAGTGGTAAGGCTAAGCTGGAACACATGGAGAAAGAGTTGCAGAATCTCACTAAGAAATGCTCAGACCTGAAAGATCTTTTGGAGAAGGAGAATGCAGATTTGTCTGCCACCAATGTTGCCCTCTCGTTCAATGATGTTGTTTGATGTTTCAAGATTTGTTCTGGTCGTGTCTTCTTTGAACGCTTTTTAGATAAAAGAATCTTATTATCAGAGTTTTTGTAATATGGAGTACTCTTGTTTTCTCAGTGGATAAATGGTTTCATGTAGGTTACTTGATGATAAAGTAATTGCTCCATGTGCTGAACAGAGTGGTGTATTTGACAAAGCCTTTTCTGATAAACTGAAGTTTGTGAGTTATTTGTCTGAGACACTCAGAGATTGCATCTAATTTCCGTACAAACCTTAGGACAGGTTACAAGAGTTTGCTACTTAGTTCTTTCAACAAGTATTTTTTTTTGTGGCTGAAAGGACTCTCTTTCCTTAATTGCAATGTGTTTCTTTCTTTCTTGATGAAAAAGTAAATATCATTGGGTCTTCCTAGAGGATATGATTCTTCATTAAAATAACATGTGTAAACGGCATTGCCTAGAGGATATGATTCTTCAATCAGCTAAGTCTTAAAACTTAAACGAGGAGCCTAGACACAGGACAGCATCATCCAACACCAGAGTCATCAGCCCAGGTTCTCTGCTTATCAAATGTTGTAATTATTCTTGTAATTAGGCAACGCCACATATTGTTTCATTCAGACAATGGGTATCTCTCAAACAAATGGCTCGCAATTTCAGTCTTTTAGAAAAGGGGTTTATCAAATTCACCACACTCAGTTCAGTTCAGACATAGAGCAATTGCTTTATCATCAAGTAACCTAGCTAAAACCATTTATCCACTGAAAATAAAACAAGGGTACTCCATATTACAAAAACTCCTGTAATAAGATTCTTTTACGTTCAAAGAAAGAGTATAGAAGACGATCATTTCAGAGTCAAGACACGACAAGAACACCAGCTTACAAAGTTAATGACAAGTCTTGAAACATCAAACTACATCACTGAACGAGAGAGCAACATTCTGCTTCTTCAAAAGATATTTCAGGTCTGAGCATTTCTTAGTGAGATTCTGCAACTCTTCCTCCATGCGTTGCAGCTCAGCCTTGCCATTTTTCACTCTCTTCTTTGTTTCCTTTACTTCCTCCAGCTTCTTCTCCAACCAATCCAATTTGAATCCGACCTGCGTTAAGTATAAAACTGCAGCCGATGCTTCACCCAAATCATCATCAGAGAGCTTCTCAGGCAACTGGCAGAGTGTCTCAATTAGTTCGAGGAGAACATTCAGGTACGTTGACTTCAGATGATGATTATTTGAACGGACTTTTGATGCAAAGTCTGGATGTTTTTCAAATATACACCTCACATGTGTTAAAGTATCTCAAATGTATTACTCCATATTTTACTTCAAAATGGTGCAACTCCAAAATGGAGTATCATTTTACTCCAATGTATTACTCCAATGTATTACTCCAAAAATAATTAATAATTGTTAATAATACTTTATATTTATAAAAGTTTACCAATTAACCCCAACTATTTTATGTTTATAAAAATACCTTAAAATAGAATTTATTTAAATTAAACATTATTATTAAAAAGTACAAGAAATCAGAAAAATAAAATAAAACACAATATAAGCTGATTCAATAATGAGCATTAGAATATTTTCCCATAAATGATCAACTAATGAATTTCGTAATGAAAATTGAGCTTCACCGGTCTTAACGGATCCGGAAGCGATTTGTTTAAATCTCTTATTTTACGTTATTTTTATTTAATATTATTTATGTTTTTAATTATGCTAGGTATTTTTGTAAATTATTAAATAATGAAATATCGTGTTTTTCATGTTATTGTATTTTTAAAAAATATTATTTATGTAAAAAAGAAAAATATTAAAGAGTTAAATGATTATTTCATAAATAAAAAAGTTCAACTCCAAAATGGAGTAATGGGTAAGATTACTCCATAAATAGAGTAATCATAGCCATTACTCCATTTTAGAGTTGAAAATGGAATGGGGTTGGAGAGGATTTTATTCCAAAATGATGTTTGGAGTAGAAAATGTAGTAGGGTTAGAGATGTATAAGTTTTGTCCTGCAAGTAAAGAGTGTTAATTAGCTTACTTGTGATGTAGAGACATGAAAGCCACTGAGGTCAAAGGTTTCGTTTCCAACACGAGTTTAACCGTATATACCTTGGTGAATCTTATTTCTACATAAGAAACTAGTATTAATTATTTACACTCATAATAGTTACGCATGCGTTTGTATTAACTTGCATGCACCAATAGTATCTCTAGCTTTGTAATTAACATGCATGTACTACCAGTAGTTACTTCAGTTCATGTTCCCAAAGCAATACTCAGAGTCAGACGATTCGCTTTCTTCCTCGACGTAATAATAACGATTTGCATTCTATCTCTTTCCTCTCACCATGTTTTAAAGTAGTCTTGTAGTGTAAGAGTTTAGTGTCTGCGTCTCTCTTTCTTGAATCCTCTTCTGAAGGGTAAATCACTTCACCTTTTTTTTTTTTTTTTTTACCTTAGTTCTCTGGTGTATTAGAACAAACGTTTTCACTTCATGTGTTTGTTTCGAATTTAATATTTCATCTTATATAGCTTTCACTTTTGTGTTATTTAGAGTCCATTGTGAATGATAGTTTTTTTGATGTTTTTTTTTTCTTTGATAACTGTTTGTGAACTTTGGTGAGTGACTACTTATCAAAAAAAAAAAAAAAACCTTGGTGAGTGACATACCTTTCATGTTTTATGTTTAGGTAGTTTGATTGAGACTCTGGAGCATGTCTGCAATGGTGAATAAAGCTGATAACAAGTTCACTTGGGTGATTAAGGATTTCTCCTCTCTGCAATCTGAGAAAATTTACTCTGATGAATTTTTTATTGGTGGTTACAAATGGTACAAGAGTAAATTATTTGCTAATGTTGTTTATGGTGCTATCCACCACAGCTTTGCTAATTCGTTTTTTTTTTTTTAACTGTAGGCGTCTTATTGCTTATTTATAAGGTCCACTAGTCCTTATCGTAACTAACTAAAGAATATTCTAAAGATGATAACACCAAATCATAACTGAAACTGAAAAGCCTTAATAAACAAGTAAAGGAAAAGCCGGTTTGGTTTAGAACGTAAACCAAACATTAGAACACGATAGATGCGCTGCATCAGGTCTCCCCGGGTAGGAGAAGATTCGCCTCTGAATCTGGAACATCATTGTCGCCTTTGAACTTCGATAAGTACTTCACATTGAACACATTCGCTGTTTTGATGTGATCCGGAAGTTGCAGTCTGTATGCGTTGTTATTGATACGCTCCAAGACCTGTACTGGTCCAATTTTCCGCGAACGAAGCTTGTTGTATTCACCCAAAGGAAGACGATCTTTAGTAAGAACAACCCAGACCATTTCACCCGGCTCAAAGATCACTTCCCTGCGACGCTGATCAGCACGAGCCTTGTACTTCTGGGCGGAGTCTTCCAAGTTCTGTACAACTGCCTTGTGCACTTCCTGGAGAGAAGACACGAACTCAGCTGCACCCCCGTGAAGACGAGTAGCATCTGGTAATGGTGCTAAATCCAACGGACAGCGAGGAACTATCCCATATACGACCTGGAAAGGACTGAAACCGGAACTCCTATTCATAGCATGGTTGTGGGCAAACTCAGCCTGGCAAAGACACGACTCCCATGACTTCAGATTAGCCCCGACCAAAGAGCGTAGCATATTACCCAACGATCTGTTAACGACCTCTGTTTGTCCATCCGTCTGAGGGTGATAAGCAGTGCTCATATCTAAGCTAGTGCGCAACATCTTCCATAGAGAGCGCCAAAAATGACTCAAAAATCTTGTATCACGATCCGACACGATGGAAGTAGGAAGACCATGCAAGCGAAAGACCTCGCTGAAGAACAATTGAGCCACTTTAACCGCATCTGTAGTTCGCTTACAAGGGATAAAGTGAACCATCTTTGAGAACCTATCAACCACCACGAAGATTGAGTCATTTCCTCGTTGTGTACGAGGTAAACCCAGAACGAAATCCATGCTCACATCAGTCCATGGCTGTGTTGGAACCGGTAGGGGTAAATAAAGACCTGCATTAGTAGCTTTCCCTTTAGCCATTTGACACGGCCTGCACCGTTCAACATATCTCTCCACATCGCGGCGTAGAGTAGGCCAGTAATAAGAAGCAGCGACCAACTGTAGTGTCCTGTCTCTCCCGATGTGTCCCTCTTTATGCAGCTCATCGATAATACGCAGGCGAAGACTACAAGACGGGATGCAGAGTTGAGTTCCTTTAAAAATGAACCCATCAACCAGAGTGAAATCATCTCGCTTATGTGCCTGAACGTCCTGAAGAATCTTCCCAAAGTAACTATCCGACTCATACAGATCCGCAAAGGAAGCAAACCCCGTCACAGAAGTATGCATTGTAGTCAACAGGCTGTGTCTTCTGCTCAATGCGTCCGCAACACGATTCAGCTTACCAGACTTATGCCGAATTGTAAAGGTGAATTGTTGCAGGTAGGCTATCCAATTGGCATGACGCGCGGACACCTTCACTTGGCTATCGAGATGCTTCAAAGCATCGTGGTCTGTAAACAAAACAAAATCTTTGTGAATGAGATAATGTCTCCAGTGACGAATTGCTTGCACGACTGCGTAGAATTCGACGTCGTAGGTGCTGTAACGGCTTCTTGCTCCTGCTAATTTTTCGCTGAAGAAAGCGACTGGTCTCGAATTCTGACTTAGGACTGCACCAATACCAAGCTTAGACGCATCGCAGTGGAGTTCAAACGTCTCTGAGAAATCTGGTAAAACCAGGACTGGTGCGGTGGTTAGCTTCAACTTGATTTGCTCAAACGCCTCCTGCGCTTCGCGAGTCCAGCTGAACGACGGTCCCTTCATGCAATCGGTTAAGGGAGCCATGATGGAGCTAAAATGAGAGACAAAACGACGGTAAAAAGAAGCCAGACCATGGAAACTACGGACGTCAGAGATTGTCTTGGGGATCGGCCAAGACCGAATTGCTTCAACCTTGCTTGTGTCCATAGAGAGGCCCGTAGAGGAGACTACATATCCCAAAAAGAGAACCTTGTCGACTCCCCACTCACACTTTTGTCTAGCCACAAACAATGTCTCACGCCGCAAAACTTCCAATACTTGCCGTAGATGCTGTATATGCTCTTCCAGTGAAGCACTAAACACCAAGATGTCGTCAAAATAAACGACGACAAAACGTCCAATGAAAGGGCGTAAGGCCTGATTCATGATTCTCATAAACGTGCTAGGAGCGTTAGAGAGACCAAAAGGCATGACAAGCCACTCAAAAAGCCCTTCGCGCGTCTTAAAAGCTGTCTTCCATTCATCCCCTGGACGAATTCTGATCTGATGATAGCCACTCTTCAAGTCCAGTTTCGAAAACAACACTGCAGTACCGATCTGATCAAGTAAGTCGTCTAGCCGAGGAATAGGAAATCTGTAGCGCACCGTAATCTTATTGATGGCTCGACTATCCACACACATACGCCACGAGCCATCCTTCTTGGGGATGAGAAGGGCTGGAACGGCGCACGGACTTAAACTTTCCCTGATATGCCCCTTTGCTAGTAACTCCTCGACTTGCTTGCGCAGCTCCTCGTGCTCCTGAGGACTCATCCTGTAATGTGGGCGATTAGGTAGTGTAGCCCCTGGGGTGAGATCAATATGATGCTGGATATCCCTCAATGGTGGCAACCCAAGTGGTAGCTCTGCCGGGAACACGTCAATAAACTCATCAAGTAAACTCGCAATAGTCGGGTCGATGGGAGCTGCTATGTGCTTGGTACTCTGTGACGCGACAAGTGCCAACACAAAGCCCTCGGACTGCAACTCGTCCTCAAACGACGAAGCAGAACATAGCAACACAGTAGCGCTAGAACCAGTACCCTCCAATAACTGAGCAGGCGTTGCACGCGGTTGCTGTGGCAAGGCCGGAGGAGCCTCTGGAGTTGGGAGTAAGACGATGCGCCTATTGTCAAAGAAGAAGCTATACTCATTCGATCTTCCCTTATGTGATACATCCCTGTCGTACTGCCATGGTCTGCCAAGTAACATGTGACACACATCCATAGGCGCGATGTCGCAGTAAATTTTGTCCTTATAGACTTCTCCGATCGAAAAAGAGACCAAAACTCGTTGCGTAATGCGGATCTCAACACCTTCACGCAACCATAGCAACTTGTATGGAGACAGGTGATCAGCGCGGCGAAGTCCAAGCTTGGTAACCGCCTCGTCAGAAATGATATTCCTACTACTGCCAGAGTCAATCATGAAGCGGCAAACCTTCCCATTAATTGTACACGTGGAGGCAAATATGTTGGTACGCAACCACGGCTGAGGATCCTTCCGGTGAGGAGCCAAACAAATACGCCGAACCATCAACAAAGTCCCCGTGTCACCATTGTTGCGGTCATCAACTATGTCGTCAATGAGATCGTCCGTGTGGGGAGTCTCGTCGTCATCCCAAACAACATCATCAGCTAATAACCCTCTGCGAGTAGCATTGGGACAGGCTGTCTGTCTGTGACCAGGTTCTCCACAAGTGTAACATTTCAACGCGCTGGGACGTGTGGAGCGTCGCAGCTCCTCTGTTGTACCTGGAGCTTTTGCTGCCGGATGAGTCTTTGTTGGCTGTGTATCTCCTGGTTCTTTCGCTTGCGTTCCCCCATGGCCTGATTCCGCATGCATTTGTGATGTTCTAGCTCGTCCAGCTTGACTCCAAGTCGAATTTGCCGGCTTGAATTGAGCTTCAAACGCCACTGCTCTGCGATGCGCTTCTGCAATTGTCACCGGATCAAACTGCGACATTGCCGACTGCAACTGAGGGCGTAAACCCCCGATGAATCGAGACACCAACTGTACTTCACTGTCCATGATTTCGTTGCGGGTGAGTAGCAACGAAAATTCCTCTGCATAGTCATCGACGGAGCGTGATCCCTGTCGCAGGTTCTGCAGTCTCGTAAACATCGTGCGATCAAAGTTATAGGGCAGGAAAGCGTTCCTTAGCACCTTTTCCAGCTTCTCCCAAGTACTGATGGGCGACTTCCCAGCTCGAGCACGGACGGACTTGAGTTGCAACCACCACGAGGCTGCTTTTCCACGAAACTTAGTAGCCACCAGTGCTACTTTCCTGTCTTCTGGAACCCGCTTGAACTCCAGCATCTCTTGCACCGTGACAAGCCAATCCAGAAGTTCTTCACCACGGACTCCACCATGAAACTCTGGAATATCCAACTTAAATCCCAATTCCCAACTTCTGTTTTCACGGTCATGATTCGAACGAGCACCTCTCTGTCTTTGACGATGGATCTCATCGGCGAAAGGGTTATCTTCCACGTCGGTTGATTCATCCTCATCATCAGCAAGGAAACGCTCCCTCTCACGATCGCGATCCCTATGGTGTCGGAAATCACGGTCTCTCTCTCGATCACGAGCGTGCAAAGCCTCTGTTACTTCACGCAGAGAATTCTGAATTGTTGCTTGAAGGTCCTCTTGCATAACACGAAGTGCGTTACGCAAATCCTCCCACTCGGTCAGAGGTAACTCAGGGGCGTTGTTGTCTTTGCGTCGCGGAGCCATTGCTTGAATCTGAAACGTGTATGACAAAAAAAATTTTAGGTCAACACGAACCTTGCTCTGATACCAAACTGGCGCAGCGTAAGGATTCAAAAGGAAGTTTGTTTAGTCGAAGAATACCCAAACGTCGCTTTTGCTCTTGTTCTCGTTGATTCACGAAGAATGCCGATAACAAAAGAGAGAAGAACTAGAAAGCTCTGATTAATTCAATAAAACGTGATCGTTACAAAAACAGCATAAAGCTATTTATAAGGTCCACTAGTCCTTATCGTAACTAACTAAAGAATATTCTAAAGATGATAACACCAAATCATAACTGAAACTGAAAAGCCTTAATAAACAAGTAAAGGAAAAGCCGGTTTGGTTTAGAACGTAAACCAAACATTAGAACACGATAGATGCGCTGCATCAAAAACACCCAGACTTTGCATCAGAGTTCAGTTCTAAGAATCTACATCTGAAGTCAACATACATGAATGTAGTCCTTGGACTAATTGAAACACTCTGCCAGTCGCCTCAAGAGCTATCTAATGATGTTCTGGATGAAGCATCCTTTGCAGTGTCGTACGTGGCAAGAGGAGGCTTTAAAGTTGATTGGTTGGAGAAAAAGCTTGAGGAAGTGAGACTCAAGAAGTTGGATGTAATCTTGAAAAACTTGTATCTGCAGCAAGTGGAGAAAAGGTTCCACAAACTTAATAAAGAATGCTTAGAACTGAAAGCTCAAATGGAGAAAGGGAATGCAGATCTGTTGGCTTCCATTGTTCCTTTCTCATTTGATGATGTTGTTTGATGTTTCTATGTGTTTTCAGAATCTTAAATCTGAACTTTTAGACCTGAAAGATCTTGTGGAGGAGAGGAGAGAATGCAGTTGTTTTGATAAAGAAACTTGTTCCTTTTTCTGAAGACACATGATACTTATAACCTAATGCATCAAGTGATTTTGGTTATGATGACATTTATGGACAGGAAAATGTATTTATGGCGTCACTCACACGTCAAAGCTACTGATTTGGGCAATGACTCTATGGTCTGTTCAGGCACCCAATGACGTTTTCTTACTCATCAAGAAAGAAACACATTGCAATTAAGGAAGCCTAGAGAGTCCTTTCAACCACAAATATACTTGTTGAAAGGACTAAGTAGTGTCTCAATCAGAGTAAGTAGTAAACTCATGTAACCTGTCGGTTTGGGTTAGTTGTACGGAAAATCAGATGCGATCTCTGATTGTCTCAGACAAATGGCTCACAGATTTCAGTTTATCAGAAAAGGCTTTGTCAAATTCACCACTCTGTTCAGACATAGAGCAATTACTTTATCATCATGTAACCTAGCTAAAACCATTTATCCACTGAAAAAACTAGGCATTCCATTACAAAATACTAACTAAAACTCCGGTAATAAGATTCTTTCATCTTAAAAAGTGTTAAAAAAAGAGTAGAATACTATCAAGACACGACCAGAACACCAACTAAGCATGTGAAAACAAAACTACAAGTTTCTAACAACTCTTGAAACATCAAACAACATCATCGAAAGAGAGAGCAACATTGGCCGCAGTCACATCTTCATTCTGCTTCTCCACAAGATCTTTAAGTTCCAAGCATTTCTTGTTGAGTATCTTAAACTCTTCCTCCATGTGTTCCAGCTCAGCCTTACCAGTGCACACTTTCTTCTTTGTTTCCTTTACTTCCTCCAGCTTCTTCTCCAACCAATCCACTTTGAATCCAACCTGCGTTAAGTATGAAACTACAGCCGATGCTTCATCCAAATCATCATCTGAGAGCTTCTCAGGCAACTGGCAGAGTGTTTCAATTAATCCAAGGAGAGCATTTATGTATGACGACTTCAGATTCTGACTATTAGAACGGACTTTTGATGCAAAGTCTGGGTGTTTTTCAAATATCCACCTCACATATGCTACCTGCATGCCAGTGAAAACAAAACATTTCATATAAGTTGTCTAGACATGATGAATCTTGGTTTTGTTCAGCAAGACAAGAGTTGAGAACTAGTCTTAATTTAGCTTACTTGTGATGAAGAGACTTGAAAGCCATTGATGTCAACGGTTCTGTTCCCCACTTGAGTTTCCTTGTGCAAATCACTAGATCTCGAACCATAATGTTCCATCTTTGTTTTTTTCATAGGTTGTGATGCCTCTTGAGATCCCTCTGATGCATCATCAGATTCGCCGAGGATAACTTGAAGAACATTTATCTCCGCAACAATCTTGAGCTCGTCATTCACAAGAAACCCACCACCATCATTGGAATGAAGTTTGGCAAGTGGAAGAATTTTCATAAAACCAAAGAAGGGAGTCTTCTGATCAAACCACACGGTTGCTTCTGTAAAATCAAAGAAACATACAAACACTCATCTTTAAGCATTTAGAATTTTATATAATATGATTTGTTCATACCATAAGCTAATTAAGTGTGTACCTCGCAGTATGGAGGATTCTTCTGAAAATTGATTTACTACTTTGAGTGAAAATTTTGTGTTCCATCTCCATCCAAGTGGCAATGATTCATGATCTGCTACTCCAAGAAACAGAGACAAGCAATCAACTCTAGCTCCTTTTGGAAAAGCAATAAGACGCCTAAAGTAATTTAAAAAAAATAAAAAACGAATTACCAAAGCTGTAGAGAGTATATATAGCACATAAATAATCTAACATGGGCAGATAATAACATTAGAAAACAAATTTTTCTCGTACCATTTGTAGCCACCAATAAAAAATCCATCAAAGTAGATCCTCCTTGATTGCAGAGAGGAGAAATCCTTAATCACCCAAGTGAACTTGTTGTTATCAGCTTCTTCACTCGCCATTTAAGATAGACTCCAGAGTCAAGGAGAGGATAAAACTTTAAGTAAAGATAAAGTTCTTATCATTTAAGCTTAAGGGTTTACATTGCTCTGGCTACTTCTACTTATACAACTGAGCTAAAACCCTAACAGTGATGCACAGGTGTCATAATCCCAAGGGTGTTGCTGAATCAAAGGGGTTCAAATCGGTTTTGCCAGCTTGATTCCTCCTTTTGCTTTTCTTTGTACGTTCTTCCCTCTGCTTTCATTTGATGAGGTTTTTGTCTTCTTTTGCAGTGTACTGAAGAAGACCGTTGAATCCACATGGGCCTTGTTGAGAATTTGGGCTTGATGTTTCTCTGGCCCATTGTTGCTGTTTGTGTCGTTTTGCTGAGATTCACTATAGAAACGACACAAAGGTAACTACTAAACCAACTCATAAACTGGGAAAAAAAAACAGTATGAATTGGTTTAAGCTGGTTTGGTTTAATTTAATATATTTGAATTTGGTTTGGATCTGATTTGATTATTGTTGAATTTAACTGAAAAACAAACTTCATATGGATCAAAAGTTAGAATTCAGTATGCGTATGATCCAAGTAACCTTAGAAAGAGGGAGCTAAAGCGATTCGCTTCCCTGGTGTACGTAATCTAGAGGATACTCATTCTTTAAATAATGCTTTTAAAGCAGCAATCAAACTCATAGTTTGATTATCCAAATCAAAGACTTAGATAATAAGTTCACAAATCATAGTCTATTGTTCATAAATCATATCTGATCGTTTTGAAGTCGATGGCTGCAAATGGTAAGATAATAAGTTCATAAATCATAGTCTATTGTCTTAAAAGTCCAGTTTAGGTTCACGGGGTACTCTTATTTCGTTTGAGTGATTTTTGTTGTATTCGTGTTTGCTGCTGTAGGTGTCTTGTTGCCTATCCTAGGCCTGGGCATTCGGGTAGTCGGGCCGGGTTCGGGTCGGGTCCTTTCGGGTCCGGGTCTTTCGGGTCTAGGAGTTTAGGACCCGATAGGGTAATTTCAAATTTTCGGTTTCGGTTCGGTTCGGGTCGTACCGGGTCCGGGTCGGGTCGGGTCTTAGATAATTGGACCCATTCGGGTAACTAGAATTTATCGGTTCGGATTCGGTTCGGTTTCGGGTCGGGTTCGGTTCGGGTTCGACCTAAAAAATACCTAAATATATAAAAAAAAATCTGAAAATACTTATATATCCGAAAATATTCAAAATTTTATTCAAAATTTGTGTTTATACTATATTAAAATGTGTATATATATTAAACTATGCGAGATACAACAACAATTTGTTGTCTCCTAGTGGTTGACCCCCTTACTCTCTATAGAAACAACCCGTCTTCGACTCCCCCTCAATGCATTTTATTTAATTTACACTATTAATTCGGGTACCCATCGGGTTTCGGGTTCGGTCCGGGTCGGGTCCAAGACCCGCGGGTCCTCCACAACAAGACCCGATAGGGTAATTTGCTCGGGTCGGTTCCTACCCGGACCCGGTTTTTTCGGGTCGGTTTCGGGTCGGGTCTTCGGGTCCGGGTAAAATGCCCAGGCCTAGCCTATCCCAAGGCCAAGGTAGATACCCTTGATCACTTGTCTCTGTATCTGAGAGTCCACAATTATGGGTTCCCTGTCTCTGTTTCCATTGGCAAATTAGGATTCTAGGTAACAAAACAGAGTACTTTTCCTATAATGTTGGTTCGTGTTGTTCCATAGTGTTTTTTTTTTGATAAAAAAATGATGAATTTATTTGTAACACAGAAAAGCAATTAAAAACAGAGTAATGGAGAGAAGAGAATGGGATCAGATAGAGCTAATACGTTAGATGCCATCATACCGGCGAATCAAACCAATAGGGAACAATAAAGTTCAACATTCATCATATCCATTCTCTTCTCTTCTCTCTTTTTAAAAATTTCTTGGAAAATTATATAAATACTAACAAAGCATGAAACTTTGGAGGATAAAAGAAAGATCAGATAGAGCTAATACGTAAGATGCCATCATCTCGGCTAATCAAACCAATAGGGAACAATAAAGTTCAATCATCATATCTCTCTCTTTCTCCTCTTTTTAATTCACAACACATTAAAACGAAACTTTTATTTTCCCAGAGACACAGAAAACGTAAAGACACACGGAGGAGAATGAAACAGAGTCGCCGATAATAATATTTCATGTGGAGCATATATATACACCAGTAAAGTTAGGGTTTTAAAGGTTTAGCCAAATTTAATGGGCTGAAACATGGGCCTAAATAAGCCTATAATGTGTAACCACGAAGTTTCTTTATGGGCTTATAACTGGCCCAGTTTCCAGTATACCCTCTCCCCTTACGAGCTTCATGCATCTGAGTTTTGTCTTGCTTTGCTTGGTGCATTGTTCTTTTGATTCTTGTTTTTTGGGGTGCTTGCAGAAATTTGGTATGAGTTTTTTTAAAACAGCTGTTACCGTTGATTTAAAAAAAAAACAATTTTATTTAGGTACTATTATTACTGGATTTCGTAATCTATTTATCTGTAATGAACCCTCCAATTACAAGATGAGATTATACAAAGACTAAGGTACATATAACTCTTGCTAAATTAAAGAATGAAACCACATTAGTAAGCAGTTTCTAACATTAGTTTTCTTGTTGATCCATCAGAATTTTGATTAAAAGGCGACTACGTTTACATAAGTTACATTTTTATGTTGAAGAATCATATTCTCTAGGAGCACCCTTGAGGTCTGGTCATTGGAAGTTAATTTGCTTCTTTGACATCAGTTGTTTTCATTCAACACTTATGGGCTGTGGATTACTATAGAACATCATTAGATTACCTTATGGTTTTCATACCTAATCTCACACCACATACTCATCCAAGAAGTTACCTTATGGTTTTCAAACCTAATAATCTCACGTCACATACACTTCTGGATTATGATTTATTAGAACATCATGATTACCTTATGAGTTTACAAACCTAATCTCACACCACATACACATTCAATCATAATTAATTAAAGGTTCTCTAAAGAGAAAACTGATTATAAATAAACAAAAAGAGAAAATTATGGCTTGGATATTGGTTCTCTTTTTAAAGAAATATAAACATATGAATCATGTTCATTTGTGTTAACTAACTGTTATGCATTATGTCCCATATCAATCTATATTTTATAAGAAAATTATCAACTTGTGTGTGCATCACATTACATAAAGTTGTTTTCTTTTGCCAAGTGTGTCTTTGTAATATGTGCATATATATTATATGAAGTTATTTTCGTTTAGCCACATTTCTCCTATTTGTCGGATTAATTAATAGTCACACATATATTTATGATATCTCTTTCTTCCCCACCCAACAAATCCAAAAGTATATCTATAGTTCATTGGTTACAATAATAGATTTGCCACCTCATTGTAGTTTGGAATTAACTTTTGTTTTCTGAAAAAAAATGATTAGCTTTTGCTAGTACGTCTTTGTGAACAAAACTTGCACATATTAAAAATATAATAAATGTTTGCAATTAAAATTATTATTTGGTTTACTATACATTTTTCAATTAAACTTTCTCGTCTTACAAGTACTAGTGGAACAGAAGAATGTGTCTACGGATTTGAAGCAGCTACAAAACCAAAAGAAGATATATGATCAGATAGAGATAAAGGTGTCTCAGGGACTATCATCGGAGAAGATTCTGTAGGTGTCTCAGGGACTATCATGGAAGAAGATCCCATAGGTTGCGGCAGCATCTGCGAATTCGAAATCGCCTTACCGAATCGGAACAGTTTATCTGAATTTATTTGGCGATAAGGTTATCTGAGATATGGGAAACAAACAAAACTAGCTCGAATCGGCTGAATTAAGTATAAAATTCATTATAATACAAAATTATAATTACTAGAGGTTTTTTCCGCGCTACGCGTGATTATGGACTTTAAATTTTATGAATTATATTATTCTACTTTTAATTATATATGATTATGTTATTATACTTTTATTTATGTGTATAAATTTTATTTTGTTTTTAATAGTCTCATTATCTCATCTATCAGATAGAAGTATATTTTTAATATACTTTATGTTTGTATCACACAACTTACTAATTAACAATAGTTTCCTTTTCTATAGATTAATTAATATTTGATAATTGTTTTGACCTAAATATTTAAAGTGTGTAGGTGCTATTTGTTTTTTACTTTTATCAGTTTTATTTATTATAGTAAAATCAAAAGCTAATTATTCAAAACTATTAATATAGATTTAAATATTGATATTGGAATTTAGTATAAAATGAGCTTACTTACTTATTTACGCAGTAATATGATAAGTTTCAATAGAATGCAAGATTCATTTTATGGGAGGAATATTCCTTGTTGGTGCTGTCCTAGCATATTTAGTTTAAGAATTGTCAATACTTTATCTTATTGTTTTCCAAAAAACTATTATAAGCATATTTACTGATGAAAATTTATTATTATTGAAATGTAGGTTGCCTAAGAAAACAGAGACAAATTATTTTTAATATAAATATTAAAGCGGAAGATTGCATAAGATGAGAAAGTGTATTTCTTTTTGTGTTAACCAAGTGGTGATCTGCATTTCAATAGTGCATAATATCAATAATCCTAAACACAGGGTATGGAAATAAGGTATTTTTTTGTTTTGGATCGCATTTTGTGAAAATGTTTTGGTATAATATAATATAAAGTAAACAATTAGATATATGTGGGTTGCAACTCCTTTTGGGGATTAGTTTGAGTCTCTTCATAGGTATAGGATACCCCAGATTAATAAAAAAAAAGTAAACAATTAGATGGAAAACAACAATTGTTCAAAAAAATAATATGGAGTTTTGATAGTACAAAAGATTATGTATATGTAGGTTAATTGAACTTAAATCATCTTTAATCGATAATCGAATGCATCGATCCTTGACTACACATGCACGTTGTTTACATTGATAGCTACCTCAAATACCACTAATCCAATATCAGTTAGCCACACACTCT